CGACAGCGCAGACTTCGCACACCGCTCCCCAGCATTCACATGGCGAATCTTCGCTCCTTAGGGAACAAATTGGACGAGCTTTCCCTTCTAAAAGGAACAAACAAGGACTTCTCTCTCTCGGCTGTGCTGTGCTTCACTGAGTCTTGGCTCACAGAGTTGACCCCGGACAGCGCGCTCCAGCGCGCTTCCCGCGTCTGCGTGTCCGCCTGCGTCTGCGCCTGCTGTAGAGAGCAGCCGCTCCGCTCACCAAAATGTCCAAAAAACAGTCAGAAAGTGAAAAGTCAGGAAAAATGCCTTGTGACATGGACTGCCTGATGTTCAGCAGGTCTTCTGCGCTGTATGTGAGTGAGACTGGTTCACATACAACAGTACAAACAAACAAAAACAAACAAAACACGATGGAGCTCCCAACCAGTGTCGCCGTCTGCGGCGCCATCATGGATTGATCAGCTGTCTGGTCTTTCGAGTGAATCTCCCCGTATAATACTAAAAGTAAAAAATAAGTTTTAAATATGTATATATAAACTCAACATATCTTTTACAAAAATCAACAATATAAACAATTCTAAGTAAATAAAAGCAAAAATATTTACACTGTAAGGATATTTTACCTGAATTGCACACCGATCAGGCATAACATTATGGCTTCTTGTTTCTATGCTCATTGTCCATTTTATCAGCTCCACTTACGATATAGGTGCACTTTGTAGTTCTACAGTTACAGACTGTAGTCCATCTGTTTCTCTGCATACTTTGTTGGTCAGGTACAGTTTACAACTATTTACAAAATAAACATAAGTTAAAATAAAAAAAGTGTGCAAATGACAAATTATGTTTATGTTAAATGACAAAAAAATGATTTATTATTGAAATTACAATAACATAAGTGGAACACATTTATTCATAAGTGTTTACAAATGCTGTGGAAATAGCTTTCAAAAAACCAATGATTTTGCAAACTTTGTTATTGTAAATAACAGTGTACTATGTTATTCACAATACCAAATAACCTTGAAAACTCTGCTGTTATATATTGGTTTGGCAATATTGGTTAGACAACATCTCAGTAATAAAGATAAAATGCACAAAATAAAGAGTGAAACACAGGACTAAAACAGCACTTATTACAGCAAGGTTGTCATCATGCAGGTGAGTGCTGTTTCACATCAATTTACAGTTCAGGAGCTGCAGAAAGAATACAAGAAGACAAAGAGCCAGTTTGCATGGAGATTAACTCTGGAGCCATTGTCTCCCACATCTCAGACAATGTGGATCACAGCTTTCTGAGGAAGTGCCCTTGGGACCCAAAAGCATTATGTTAAAAACATGCAGGTGAGCCTGTTCCACTTTACATCTGTTTGATATCCGGTGTCGACCAGAAGAGGACAGGTTCCACTTTTGAGTCTTCTCAGGGTTTGTTTTAGATGACAGTGGTCCTTTTAGATAAAACAAACACTCAACAGACTCTCAGTAACATGTCAAAAATAAATGAGAGTAACACTGTATTTTGAAATGGGTTTACCCTTCTGGTATTTCACAACTGTAATGATGCTTTGAATTTTGGAATATATTGTTTCCCCTCCATTGGGTATTTTGAGAATAACTAAGTTAATACAACCACATTTACCTTGTGTCTTCATTTTTCTGATTATTTATTGTAAATTCAGCATTCAAAAGAAGTACTTCTGATTTAAGAAATGAAACTTCCCTGGACAGCAAGGCCAAGTCTCCAGTAGAGAAAATAAACTATACAAATATATACAGTGCACACTAGAAATGTAACCTGGGGCTACAGGCTGGGAAGTGATACCCCATCAACAAGTAGATTTTTTTTTTTTGGTAACGATATAATTCAGTTTTTGTCTTCAATGGTTTTCATTATAAAATGTGAGAAATTTATCAAACTTTAGCCACTACTCTAAATTAGTAAATTAATTCCTGAAAATGCCCGATTCTCTACTGCAATGCAAATGTAATTTTAAAAATATGTTTAACATTTTAGATTATGTGAGTGTTATGAAGCATGGTGTCTGATACATATAATGGAGTGTCCTGTAAATGTTTTTTTTTTTTTATTATTATTTTTTATTGTTGTCTTCTCTGAAGATGTGACGTCTTAAGTATATTGACAAAATGAAATATTGAATTCCTGAAGATGCTGCTGTCTGAAGAGCTTACACTGCGATACATGATCAGAACAAGGTAATAAAAATGTATAAATGTTCAGCACAAAACAATGTCTTCATATTTATTTTTCATACATGCAGCTGTGAAACCAGAACAAACAACAAACAGTGCTGCATATATGCATAGAGATAGTAAGTTACTTGCACGCAAATGTGTAACAAATTAGGAACCCTCCAACCAGTTTATTGGTTTGTTAATAATCACTATATAATTTAATCATATTTTACACAGTCAGTGCTGAATGCATGGTTAGTTGGTCAGTTTCAATTTCTGGAAATAATTTGATATACTTTAATAGTACAAAGTGTAAAACAAGTGCTTCACATTTCTGAATCAAATTAATTACTTGGACATGAAGTCCAGTTTAACTGAAGTGGTCTCACCAGAAACAACGTCTATAGCAGTTGCCTTCATCTCAGTTAAACCAAACTTGATTTCAAGGACTACTGAACGATTCCTGCCCTGTGAGATCTTTGGTATTGACACTGCTAAAGATCCAATCTTCATCATTCCCTCCTCATCTATAAACTCAGCGATTTCCTTCTCAGTGCAGTAAAAACTGAAGAGCATTTCTTTTTGGTCTATCTCAAGTGGCTTAAATGTGTACCGTCTGACTTCATCAAGAAGAACTGACTCATCCTTCTTCACTAGGCAGTAGAAGCAAACTGAACAGTAATGAACTCCATCCTTACTGACATATTTGCTCTTGCCCTTGTGTTTGGACTCATCAAACAAGTGCACAACTGCGATCCCATAAGTGAAAACACTGATACGTGATTCCACCACATTTGGCATCATGCCAAACATAACAGCTCCATTCACAACGGCCATCTGAGCATCTACAGGGCAGAGCACCTTACACTTCGACCCAAACTTCTCCTTGACAAACCTGTTCACGTAAGGACTCAGGGCAAAGCCTCCAACTAAGAAGATGTATTGGATGTTCAGTGTGGGGTTTTTCAATATTTCTTTCACCTGACTTACTATGCCCCTGATACTATCCTCATGTAGAGCTCTCAGCTTTGCCCCTGACAGCAGTATTTGTCCACTTTCCCAGTCAACATCATTGTCTCTGCTAAAGTAGGCTTCTATGTCATCTTCTTTGCTGGCTATCTGTTGTAAACTAAATGGACACTGCACCAACACGTCTCCATCATAACGTTTACATATAGAAAAATCATACATCAACCGCTGCAGCTCACTGGGATGGTTTTCCACAAATTCATCAAACACTTTTTCAGAGAAGATCTCTCTGATCAATGATTTGAAGTTCTTGTCCACTGTCTGTCCCCCCATGTTATTTCCAGATACCCTGTGCAGCTCCTTTAGACGACCCCCCTCCACCACCTCATGCACTGTGATGTCAATGGTTCCACCTAAAAGGGGAAAAACAAAGAGTCAAACTCTCAAATCAAATCAAAGGCAAAAGGCAAAACCACTTTTGGGCACAGTAGTGTAACCTACAATACTTCACTATAAGAGAGACAGAACATGAAGAACACTTTAGTTTATTTAGATAAGGGATGTCCAGTCTTATCCACAAAAGGCCAGTGTAGGTATTGTGAAATAAAGTGAGTCTGTTCCACAGTTTCTCATTAGGTTGAATGAATAACTGAGAGAGAGAGAGAGAATGTATTTTTAGCAGAACATAGAGAAACATGTTCAGTTTTGATTACAACAAATGAAATCTAGGCTTGTTATGTGATAAATTACATGAAAAAGTGACTTAAACAGTTTGGTATCTACCTCCACAGTCCACCACCATGTACTGTGTTCCTGGAACTTGTTCTATTGTCTCTGCTTCTGTAGGATCTCCTTCCATAAAACCTTCTTTTGGGAGCTGTTTACACCACACAGATGCAGCTTCTGGTTCCAGAGCTACAATCAGTCTTTCAGGGTCAAATTCGGACACGAGACCAGCCTAAACACAAACATTTCACACATTATTCTTCATAATCTGGGGTAATGCTGGTCACAATAGCCAAAATCACAGTAGTTTTAATATTAAGTGTTACATTATGTCATCACACTCACCTCTGTAGCTGCTTCTCTCATGAACTGTTTAGCTGCTGCACTCCAAATGGCTGGAACTGTCAAAACCCACGTAGCATCAGAGGCAGAGTACTTTACTCCAGCTGTGTGCTTTCCAATCATATCCAGGGCGTGATCTTTCATGAATTTCAGGCTCTCAGAGAACACTTTCATAGCTCTCATTTTTTTCCCATTTTTGGCAGTCATCATAAAGTCTCTGTGCAACACCTGAGAAATAAATACAGAATCTGTGTAGATCAGCACCTGCTCATTTAGTTATAAATAAGACAAAAACAACAAAAACATTACTTATCTAAATAAATCCTACCTTGCCAAAAAGCTCCATTTTGAAGTTGTCGAAGAGGAGAAGCTTCTTTGCTTCATTTCTCCGTGTCTGTCTGGTGTACGCCATGACGGCATCATAGCCAAACTTCAGAAAATTTCCATCTTCATCAAACAAAATGCAGGTAGGTGTCTTTGGAGTGTTCAGACCGTACTCTTCACCCCATTTAGGCCGACGAATCTGTTTTGATTCTACAAGCTTGAAGCAGTAACCGGTAAACGCTGTGCCAAAATCTATAGCGATATAAACTAACGAATCTTCCATTTCTCTAACAGCAGAGAAACGTTCCTGTCAGGATTCAGAGCCGTCAGTGGGGGAAAAAGAAACAAGCTCACTTTTATAAGAACAGAGTTTACTTTCACTTCTCTCAGTTCAGCCCACAGCAAAACTAGGCGTTCCCTGGGTATAAAAGGACGAGTGGTGCCTTCATTCCTTCACCAATCTTTCCAGTCCTTGCCTTTTCAGCCTGAAACTCTCCTCAGGTAAGGATTTAAGATTATTGCTCTCGTTTACATTAATTTATTAGATTATTATATTTATATACAAACATGAAAACATACAACCTTTCTTTAAAACTAATAGGCTAATGAGAGAATGTGAAATGATGATGCACATCTGGATTTCTAAAAAGAATTTTGAACTCTAATTAGCAAAACAAAGACAACAGATGATTATTTATAACCAAGCATCTAATCAAATAAAAAATATTTCTGTTTTATTTACTGTTTCTAGAATATATTATTACAGTAATTATATGCAGTTTGGAAAAATAGTGATATTTTGTGAAGCTGCAGTTTCTTCAGACTATTTTTAAATTGAATGCTGCATATCTATTGTCTGCACACTGTGGTATGTTTCTCTGGCTATGAGCATTTAAATGTGTGTCTAAACTGATTATCTTCAATACTGAAATTATTTCACTTACTAAACAGTTGTTTCCTTCTTTGTCTCAGCATGGCACATCGGTATGACTACATCACCACTGAGAGGTAATAACCGCTTAATAGACTAATAACTGCTTTATAGACATGTAAAGGCAAAACCAGTTGGTAAAATTCCTAGTGTAATTTATATACCAGTTTACAGAATGAGTGTATGTTACATAACTTGTGTCTTTCATTCTACAAACTGAGTTATCATGTTTAGTAATCATGCTTTGATATTATGCCATAAACTAAAGATGCAATTCTTCATTGGAGTGATCAGCTGGAATTAGCATTGCATGCTAGCAATGACTGTTACCTATATGAAGGCAAAATTTAGCTGAAGTGAACATCACTATAATGTCCACATCTAAAAACCATTTATCACTAACAAGATATTGAAGTTTAATCAATTAGTAGATGTTGAATGTGATGGCTTATGATAACTAATTTCAAAACAAATTGACATTGGGTGTCTCTATTTTGCTGTCATTTGTCTCTGCAAATTAGCCCAAATTCTGTTGTACTTTGATCGATAACAATTTGTGAAATTTCCACATTGCCCCGATAGTGGGTCAAGATGCCACTTTAAAAGATTTTTTTTTTTTTTATTTGTGCTATAAAAAGAACTGTTGGCTATTCCAGTTTATTTCCTCTAACTGTGCGCAAGTTTACACATGATATGATTTCCCTTTACCTTAAACCAATACTGTTCTTACAGTAACCCAATTCGTGCTACATCATGGCTTCTCTGACCATGAAAAAGGGAGCTCAAACTGTAGAACATGGTGAGAAAATTACCCCCCTAGACACATTTCTAATGGAATGAACGAAATAAAGAAACAATTAACTGGTACAAACTCAACTAACTGGTACCATCTAGTTATTCACTTTGTTAATAATAATGGAGACTTGGAACATAGAATTAAACACTAAAGTGCAATATAGTCAACAAAACATAAGATAGGTTAAGTGACCCTTATTAGTCTCACAGTGGGGAAATTTTGCCTCCGCATTTTAACCCATTCGTGAAGTGAAACACCACATACACACTAGTGAACACACACACCATGAGGCGGTGAGCACACTTGCCGGGAGCAGTGGGCAGCCCTATCTGCAGCACCCGGGGAGCAGTGGGGGGTTAGGTGCCTTGCTCAAGGACACATCAGTCATGTACTGTCAGCTGAGGAGATAGAACAGGCAACCTTCTGGTCACAGGGCCAGTTCCCCAACCTCCAGCCCCATGACCATAAGCAATACCTAGAGCAATTAGAACTCAAATACAGAGAAAACCAATGACCTCCAATCATAAATCTAATAGTGAGAAATGTGAACAAAACAGTGAGAAACAAAAGCAAAACTGAAGGATAAAAGACTAATAAAACCACAAATATAAGTTGACAACAAGAAACTGGCAGAGACATAAGGGATGTGAAACCTCGGGTTTATCCTAAGGTAGAGGAAAAGCCAGTTAAACTCTGGGTTGACCCCTTTAAACAACCTTAATAAAGGCCCCACATACCAAAGGTTTCTGGGAGTCATGGCAATAGATCTTTGATGGAGGGTCCTGACAGTTGAAGAGGACAGGCTAATGCTAGGCACTGCAGTGTCCACTAGAGATACAGGTTGACAAGCCAAGCTCATCAGTGCTGGTCGCTAGGCCCTTACTAAAAGCTGCTTCCTGTTCCCTAACACTTAGGGATCTGCTCGCTTCTGTGTGTCATGCGGCACTTTTCCCTGACCTCACACATTGAGTTTCAACCCGATATGACCCCCTGACCCCAGACCTTGCCCTAGGACTTGGCCTGTGTCCTCTGGACACTTTGGTACTTCTGAATTGCCTTGCTTGGACTTTTTAGTACTCTTTGAATGGAGTCCTGTGGGATTGTGGGGTTGGCTCAGTGTCAGTATTAGGGTCAGGATAAGGGTTAGATTTGGGTAAGGTTGGGTAATGGTTAGGTTTTGCTTAATGGAAGCACTATGTAAAGACTACTTCATGTAGCGTAACAAAATCTCTGCTTATTGTAAGTAATATATCAATCTTTACCTCAATCTATTCAGATGTATTCCCACACTGTTCTGAACATTTTTATTTTTTTTCTGAAACTCGCTGAATTTATGTTGTTCAGACATGTGATCTAAGTGTGGCTGTGGGACACTAAAACATCTGTAATTTGTTCACACTAAAGGGCAAATTGATTTTTTTAAAATCTGATTTATACACTCCAAAAAAAAGAAAAAAAAAACTGGCAGTAACAAGCAATTGAACTGGTTTTATTAAACTTATATATATATATATATATATATATATATATATATATATATATATATATATATATACATATATGGAATAAGATTGAATTTAATCAGATTTGAAATGTCAGAGTTCATGTAGATTTTCTCCATTCAGACTGCAGAAAATCTGTCCTGCTCAAATATTTAATGAAAAATAGTATTTCTGCAAATAGTAATAATATACAATATACATTAGTATACAATATACAATAATATACAATATATATTAGTAATAATATACAATATTTAATATACAAATAGCTCTAATTTTGGTATCTCCATTAAGTATATGACTAGTGTATTACACTTGGCTATTTTTTTCTATTTCTAAATGGTAACCACAGTTATATCTAAAGTTATTGTGTGATTAGAACTTTTTGGACAAAGTAAAATTCCAGGAATCAAGACATCTGGAGGAAACCCACTAATAAAGTTTATGGCCCTGTCCTTAAGTGCACTATCCCAAACCCTTCTGCTCTCACCTTAGGCAACATTATCCAAATTATACCTCAGAACAATCCTCCTATGACCTACAGGTCTGGAGACATTTTAGTTTTTAAGTTTTAGAGATTTTTGAAGATTTTAAAGTTTTTTAGAAGTACAATCTATGCACTTTAAGCATAGTAAAGTTGATCATAAATATCTGCAGGAGGACATTAAGGGTAACTAGATCCTGAACTCAACCATGATTTTAATCCACTATTCAAATTCTTTTTCACTTAAACATAATTTAACTGCATACTTTTGTTCTTTTACTCAAATGGTAACCACACCTATATCGAAAGTTATTGTGTGATGAAGCTTGAGCAGCCAGCAGAAAAGAAACTGCATATTCATTTGAAATTGAGCATGAAAACCTTTTCCCCACTTTCCAGTTTAAGTTCAAGTTCCAGTTTATAACTGGAAACACAGGAAGTCAGTCGGTGGAGAGAGTTTGGGTCGGACAGAGAGAGAGGGAGAGACAATGAGCATGTAATCAAGACATAAGAAGAAGCTCTCTCTTTTTCTTTTGCACTTCAGTTCTGCAGATCTTAAATTTTGTCATGTTTTTGTTCAGTCTGTTTTTTTTCATTCACTCTGTAATCTTGAAGTGTCGTGAACTGATAGACTGTGTTTACATGTTGAATAGCGCATCTAGTTTCTTCAGTTCATTTTGATGTCTGATTGGCAACGTTAGGTCAACATGAACTCTGCGAACATAGTTTAAGAATCAAATGCACCAGTGCTGATTGAAATCCACCAAAAGAGTCTGCTTCAGCGGCCCCCTTGTAAGGCAGCGTCCTGACTTCACCAGCCAACCATTGCAAGCCAGCAGGAAGCTTGCCTCACAATCCTGGTCTGGTCAGATGCAGCGTCCCCAAGGTTCACGTCTTTAGCAGCCCCGCCTTTGGCCTACAGACCCATCTCCAGCCCATGTGAACAGGCAGCTCTCCAGCCCACACGAACAGGCGACAGGTCGCAAGACTCACCCACACTATTATTTCATGTGATTCAGTCTTACTGTTTGGCTCTGTGTATCTAAACTTGGGTTATTTATTATGTAAGTGTTCATCTTCATTCTGCATGCTGCCCAAATTTCACAAAATTGTTAATTGTTCAAGTCTCAGCTAATTACAGTATGTTTGTTCTGTGAACTTAATGTCTCCAGTTTTCACTGCATAACTGCTAAACTAATATTTACTGCCTATATACTTTTCATAACCTTTCACACCATGAGGTGTATAAGCACTAATCATTTAGTGCTTATACACCTTATCAATAAATGACTCTATTAAAGTTATCACTTGTGGTTCTGTGTATGTAATTATCAAATCCTATGATAGATCTTTGTCCACAGTTAAAGTCTGACCCGAGATTATTTTAAGTTGCTGTATTCATTCGATATAATAATATTACAGTAATCCATGTTTTCTCTGATCAGTAGTAAGCAGTATATTTTGAAACAGTTTGTATGTCTGCAATGTTTGTTTATTTTTTAAATACATTTTTATGAATGCTTGGAAATGTAAACACAAATTTCAAAATTCTACAGCACATAAACAAAGAGCAAAAAGAATTCTAAATCTGTAAACCTTCACAAACAAGAATATCATTACAATTTATACAAATTTTAACTGGTAATGCAAATATTTTTTATGAGACATCTTAAAATTCCTATTTCTATTTTTTAAATTTTTACTTAGATTTGAGAATGAGAATCACAGTAAAGAAATTGAAGATTTAATGTAAGAAAATTCAGTAACAAAAAATTTACCACATCACTTTTTTGTGATTCTATTGATTTTATCAGACTAAGACAAGAGAATGGAAACCTCAAACTGGAAATCAACAAATTAAGGTAAGAAATTCTTAAGTTAATCAGAACAAAATTAATCCAATCTGTGTTTAACCAAAATTAAAAATGTGAATGGATGTTAATTACTGCTTCGAATAAAATGCTATATTATTATAAAGAGAAGCCGAACCTCAGTGATGTTTACAATGTCCGTATCCCAGGGTGAACTTTCTAAGCTCATTAAGAACACACAAAGCTTGCAGGTGTGAATAGTAACAGTCAATGTAAACATGTTATGATGCCAGTTTCTGACAGATAGATTTACTTCTCCTGAGCCCACAGCGTCTTGCTGGTGCTATAAAAGGTGAAACATATTAGATAAATGATGTATGTGGTGATATGTATGCATAAGGTTTTTTTATAATGTTTCTCAGTCTCTCTATAACTACTGATTCAGAGCTCATGTAGAGATTATAAACATGTACACATGTCAGGAATTCATTTCAGCGGAAACTGATTTGCAGAGTGGAGACAACTGTTCATTCTGTGTTTTGGCCTGTTTAGATGTCTTTGAGTTTATTAGCTAGGAGAATGAGACTGACCTGCTGGGTTCCTGGTCCACTTTGGTGCACCAGTGCTCTAATGAACTGCACAAACAGAACAGTCACACCAGAGTTTGTTTTAATAGAACCAAACCTGCCAAGTGTGAACAGATCCTCAGATACTGTAGCAACATGGAGGATAAAACACTGTTTTCTTGGTTTTGCTGGCTATTTTGGACAAAAGAAAGGTTATTACAGACTTACCTTAGTGCAGCGTTTGTTCACCTGACTGAGATAATAATCAGTTGATGAGCTGGATCAGATACGATAAGGCTGAGATTAGTGTACGCTGTACAGCTTGGGATTAATAAACTCTGCTATAAATTATAAACAGACTGAATAGAATCACAGGACTGAGCAGTTAACTTGAATTTAAAGGAATGATGAACACAAAGCAACTTTAAACAAAGATTAAAACAAATCAGATCCATGATGAGTCAAAGCAGGCAATGACAATCACAAACAATAGTCCAACTATTATAAAACATCAATATAAAGCATCTAATGCCCTCTAGTGGTCACATTGTGGACACTACAGTCTTGTAAACCCTTAAAGAGATGATATCCTGAATCTTCATGAATCTGTACCATCTGTGTTCAAGATTCAGTTATCAATATCACATTTTGTGACCATTGTTTTTCACCTATTTAAAGGTAATTTCCTCATTGTTTTCAGCTTCTGCTTCATATGACATCATGCTACCACTGAGATAATGTGTTTAAATTATTTTGAGTTGATGACCGCATCCCTCTCTTTCATTCGCCTTTAGACATTGTTTTTCAGTGATGGTGTGATGCCTTTCACATTCCAGCAATGTTTGGTGGAGTCAAGACTGGGATTTTATGACAACATAATAGAATGGGTTGTTTCAAAAAATCCAGTTCTCATCATAAGGTCTATAAGATATAAGAAAGACTGTGGTGTAGTTGATGTGCTAAACTGAACCTATACTTGCACTGATCTAATGATACAACAAATTGATCCCTGTGATTAAAAACAAGTAATATTGTAAGAATACTACATGATTCTGTAATTAATTTAGGACTTAAATTAAACAGGACACAACTACAGGACAGACAAAATGAATTGCACAACTTCAAAGAAAGGTATGGTGGTGGATCATTTTATCTACATATATAACAATTCAGATATTAACATAAAACCTTCTGACAAAAATGTATTTTTGTGTTTTTCACTTTTCCCAAGAATGGGGAAAGTAGTGGACCTGACATTAGGAAGTAGTGGGGTTTTGTCTGAAGACCTCACTAACCCCTGCAGAGAATCTGAACTGAAACATATGTATGAGAAATTAAGCAAGAATCAATGGGCGAAACTTCTGCGGCAGCTAAAGACAGGAGGACCTGAAATGACCAAAGAAAAAATAAAAGAGAACAGGAAGAAGGCAGAGGACGTGATCCAGGTGAGAATATGCAAATACACTCTTTTGTAACTGCTGTTGTAGGACTGGACAAACATTACAGAGCTTCAACCTAATGAGACCACGACTCAGTTTATATCACAATACCTACATTTAGAGTCAGTTATTCACTCAGCCTAAGGAGAAACTGTAGAACAGACTGAGTTTATATCACAATACCTACATTTAGAGTCAGTTATTCATTCAGCCTAAGGAGAAACTGTAGAACAGACTGAGTTTATATCACAATACCTACATTTAGAGTCAGATATTCATTCAGCCTAATGAGAAACTGTAGAACAGACTGAGTTTATATCACAATACCTACATTTAGAGTCAGATATTCATTCAGCCTAATGAGAAACTGTAAAACAGACTCAGTTTATATCACAATACCTACATTTAGAGTCAGATATTCATTCAGCCTAATGAGAAACTGTAAAACAGACTCAGTTTATATCACAATACCTACATTTAGAGTCGGTTATTCATTCAGCCTAATGAGAAACTGTAGAACAGACTGAGTTTATATCACAATACCTACATTTAGAGTCGGTTATTCATTCAGCCTAATGAGAAACTGTAGAACAGACTGAGTTTATATCACAATAGGTTAAAATCAGGTTAAATATTAAATCTTCTTCTTTAAGGCTGTTCTGAGAAAATCACAGCATGACATTCAGAACATCACGGGCACAATGTTGCGCCTCACACCGAGCAGCCAAGATCCTTCCAATAACTCTAAGGTACAACATTGTGATATTTAATAACTAAAAAATAATTAATAGTCTTACTGAAATAAATTATATATAATATATACATTTTAAAATATTGTCTTGTTTCTTTTTAATGCAACACAGTACTTTGATTTGGCCATCCAAAATCTTCAGTTGGCGATCTATGAGGAAAAGAAGGAACTCTACAACAGGGACAAGGTACCTTCACATACATTATACACACATTATACACCTTATACACACACAGTATACATGCATGGATTTGAAAGGTCTGTGTAGGTTTTTTACTGATTTTTTTTTTTTTTACATTTCAGACACTCAGATCAAGATAATTCAGAACAGACCATTTTACTTTTAAGGGAATATTTTAAATGTTTTTTTTTTTTTATTTAAACATTGTTGTTGGAATATTTATAGTCTACAGTGCATCTATATTTTCTTTATTAAAATCCTGTAGCGTCTTTAGTGTTAATATTATTTTCCTTTTAGCCTTTTTATAAGAAGTTTTCAGTTTGGTGAACTATTCATTTCTTAATGTTTTTATTACTGCACAGTCTTTACTGTGTTTCACTATACCTTCAGTATAATTAGATTTTTTTTTATTATTTTTAATCCTTCACCTGATCTGTACTTTTCATAGTCCTGTAAACTCTTTTGTTTATATGATTTATGATTATAGTCAATTTGAGGCTGAATATATTCACTTTATTTAGGCCAATCCAACAATCAGTCACCACAGCACACAGACATGAAAAAACAAATCCATAAACATCGCAAAACAGAACAACAGTTAGGCAGCTAGTCAGGGTGGAGTCAGAGTGGAGATGGAGTGGAGTCAGAGAGGAGTCATCGTAGAGTCTTGGTGGAGTACATGGTGGAGTCGGAGCAGAGTCAGGGTGGAGTCATAGTGGAGTTACAGTGAAGACAGGGTGGAGTCAGACTGGAATCAGAATAGAGTCAAGGTCGAGTCAGAGATGGAGTCAGAGCAGAATTATAGTGGAGTCAAGCTGGAGTCATGGTGCTGTCTGAATGGAGTCATGGTTTAGTCAGAGAAAAGTCAGGACAGAGTCAGTGTGGAGCCAGAATAGAGTCATGGTAGAGTCAGGGAGGGTTCAGTATGGAGTCAGGGCAGAGTCAGGGCGGAGTCAGTGAGGAGTAAGGCAGAGGGGAGTTGAGGCAGTGTATAACTAACATTAAATACCCAATAATGAACATGAATCTGAAACTATAAAATATTGCAATCACAGACATGAACTTTCAGCTATGTATTTTTGTTGTATCATTACAACTATAAATATTTTCAAAAACGTTGAGAGACCATTTGAACAGTTGCAGGACGTTCCTGAGGCTTTGTACTCGATGATTCATGATTGCTACAAGACTGGCTGTTTGATGGCTTTACACAATCCACCTCTCCTGCTGGACTGGGACAGCTGTGTTCAAGGACCGTTCCCTCCGATAAAGACCGTAAAGACATCTATGTTCAAAAATTACAAACTACAAAATAGACGTATTAACAGGACCTGAATTTCATCACATCATTTATACAGTACTGTTATGTTTAATATTGTACTGTTTGTTCCTTTTATGTGTAACTGATCATGTGTAAATATGTTATAGGTGTTATATAATCTGTAAGTCTGCAGTGATTAGTCTTTTTGTACTTTTCCTATTTTTAAGCGTTACTGTAGGTATGTTTGTATATGCTCACCAAGCACTTCATTAGGAACACCTGTGCACCCACTCATTCATGCAATTATTTCATCACCCAATTGTGTAGCTGCAGTGTAGTGTATAGAATAATGCAGACTCAGGGAGCAGCTTCAGGAAGTGTTCACGTCAACCATTAGCATGACTTTGGTATGATTGTTGGTCCCGAAAGGACTACATCTATAACTGCTGATCTCCAGGGATTTTCACAGCATCTCTATAGTTACTCAGAGTGGAGAAATAAAGAAAAAGCATCCAGTGATACATACGATACAATACATTTTATTGTCAGATTTCTCTGAAAATTTTCTTGCATCATTGCAGCTCCATGGCTGAATAAGGGGTAGGGGAGGGAAAGATGACAAACAATCAGACAAACAGAAAAATTACAAACCACAAACCACAACAATACACTTTACGCCATTACCTGATTCCTGATACCTTATACGCTCTACAACCCAATATCTGTGAGTTACTACCTGTAAACAGTTCACTTATTTCATCAGGTATCACAATTAACTGAGGGATGAAGGGATTCCTAAACTTTGGTACTCTAAAATGTCTATTTGAAGGCAAAATATATTCACCATGCAGCACATGAAATGGATTAGACAAAATACCACAAGTTACTCTTTCCATACTTTTCCTCCAGGTCATTATAAAACCTTCATCCAGAGGCTGACCTACAACCTTGGCACAGATTTGTATCAGTCTAAACAAACCTGTCTTTAATTTCATAGAGAGACAACTATTCCATGATGCCGCACAGTATTGCATCACACTCTGGATCACTGTAATATAAAACAAGAATAAAATCTGACAATTAACCCCAAACAATCTTAACTTATGGAGAAAATAAATAAATTGCTGTACCTTAATGCAGACATGATCAATATAATCCATGATAGTGTTGCATCTATATGTACACCCTATAGATATAGTACACCACTATATGTTCTCAGAGGAGGTGGATATGAATCAGGGGAGAGACCAAAAACAACATCCTCTGTCCTGTTTGTATTAATAATACGATCATTCTGATTGCACCAATCTACTAGCCCATCAACACCCTGCTGAAATAGATCAATATCATCATTATCCATGAACAAAGCTAACAATACAGAATCATCTGAATATTTCAAAATAAAATGATTTGGTTCCTGGAGAACTTACACATCCTTGTGGTGTTCCAACATTAGTTACAACAGGCAGTGATGGTGCTTTATTTGTATTTGTTTGTATTTATGTTTTATAACCCAAATAATTTTTGAAGTGGGTAAATGTTTTTTTTTTTCTCTCATTATCTAAAGCAGTTGTAATTTTGATGTAAAATAAATATAATGCAAAGGTTATTTCCTGCTTTTCTACAAGCTTATTGCTCTCATCACTTTGAACTTTTAATTAAAATAACACAGTAATACTTTTTTTTTTAATATTTAGGGGAAGTTTTGTCCTGTTATAGAGAGAGATGAGGAAACAGATACTCTTCGAAAGGTGACATTTTCTGTTTTCCTATTCAGATGCTTCTGAATCTTAGATCCCAGATATTAATATTTTGTGTGATTTTTAATCTGTTTTTTCTTTTAGAGTTCTGCTGCTCAGGCTGGAGCTCAGATTCCTCATGGAAACAGAGAAATAGTACGTACATTAAGTTCAAGTTCAAGGATTAAGTTCAAATCTTTACTGAATAACTCTGTAAACAACAATATACAAATGACAAAATACAACTTTCCTGAATATTTGCCATTATAAGCATTAAATGTGCGTGTACAGCTTTTATGACATCATTAGCCTGGTGCTAATATATCCATCCATCCATCCATCATCTAAACCGCTTATCCTTCTGGGTCACGGTGGGGTGCTGGAGCCTATCCCAGCTGTCATTGGGCGGAAGGCAGGATACACCCTGGACGGGTCGCCAGTCCATTGCAGGGCGGTGCTAATATAATACTCCAAATTCCATTAAGGCACTACCAGAAATTTGCATTAATGTGTCCAACTCTCAGTGTATCAGAATTAAACAGTTCAAGTGTATGTTAATAAATGGAGTGTTAATATATGGAGTGTGATGAGCTTAAAAAAACAATAATAATAAAACAGATAATTAAAAGGAAGTGCAGAGTACATAAAAGCAGAATACAAACTTAAAAAAAAAAATTAAACACAAAGTGCTTAAGCGTTATTAAAATTAGAAAATGCAGTAAAAATGCGAAAGTGCAAGTTTTAGAGCTCGTTACAGGCACAAAAACAGAGAAATATTTTAACCTGGATTTTAAAATTGCTACATTTGGAGCTCATATAAGATTTGATTTGATAAGAGTTGTTTTTTTTTTAATTTTAGAACTAATGTTCCTACTAGTTTAATGTGATTGTTTTGATTTGTTAATCTGATTTATCTTGAAGTTTTGTATTTATCTTATTTACCATTTAATTTTTTTTAATCTTATTTATTTTTGTTGGTGTACATTTACTATTACTATTTTTTTGTCTTTTCAGTCAGTCGTTTGTTTTCTTTATAAATGGAACCAGATCATAGAATCATCTATATAATAAAGTCCACATCAGCTGATACAGTAGCAGAACAACCCTTAAGATGAAGTTAGATATTCCTTCTGAGAGGAAATGAAGAGTCAGAGTGGACGAGGGTTACTGTTAAAATGAAAAGGATAGAAACTTTTAAAATTATTATTATTATTATTATTATTATTGTTATTATTATTTATTTATTTATTTATTTATTTTTAAATGACATGACTACATCCTGCTTTCTTCCAGAACTTAAAATTCAGTTTTTATTGTTTAGGTGAAGCGTGAAATTTAAAGAGGTGTGATTCCACTCATTACCTGTGCTCCCCAGGACCGCAGGTGCACGGTTTACAAGGCCAGAGTTGCAGTGCCAATAATTCTGGAGTTGACTTTATAACACTCAGTTTGAGTATAATACTCAGGGTAACTCAGCTTGGTAATAAACTATTTTGTTTTGAAAGTTAGGTAAATCTTTAAACTCTTCATTGTAACGATTGAGAAACTAATACCCAGCAATTATTAAATACCTTAAAGAAATACTGATGTTGGATGATACATTTTGACTCACGATCAGTGTTTCAGTTCGTCCTAAAGGAGTTGGACAGGATTGAGGTCAGGGTTCAGTGCAGGCCCATCAAGTTCTCCCATAACCAGCTCAAACCTTTTCCATATGGAGCTCACTCCCCAAAATTCTGTAAAACTTCATTGTATGCTGTAAATTTAAAATTTCCAATATACTAAAGGACTAAACCATGAAAAACAGCCCTTTACAGCGTTCTCCTGCATTCACCCATCCGAGATTCATCCGTCAGACTGACAGATGGTGAAACATGACAGCAAGACAGAAATTAGATGAACTGACTGGTTGAGCTGGTGTTCTCTAACAGTTCCATGCAGGGTGGTGTGATTTATACACCTGTTAGCAATGAGCTAGGATTATTATTTATTAATATGAGATGACTGTGTCCTGTTTTCTTCCAGATGTTTATTGTCAGTTTTTATGTTTAGGTGAAACCTGAACTTGTTAAAGAGAAAGAAGAGGATACAGGTGTTCTTCAAAAGGTGACATTTCCAGCTTTCCTGTTTGGAATATTTGAATTATGAAACATGATTATAGAAACATGTAAAAGCAATACACATAATTTACAAAAAAATCAGTTCTGGTTTACCCAAAGCCAGCTGGAAAGGTGGCAAGGCCATTCAAAGATTTAAAAACCAGCACAAGCAATTTGTATTGAACGTGATACTGAACTGGGAGCTAATGAAGCTGTTTCAGAGTTGGACTGATGTGCTCCCAGGATTTAGTGTGGGTTAAAACCCTAGCAGCTGAATTTTGCACATACTGCAGCCTATTCAGAACACCAGCAGTGAGTCCATATAGCACAGCATCACAGGAGTCAATTCTAGATGTTACAAAAGCATGGATAACAGTCTCAGCAGCAGAAAAAAGAGAAAAGGGCAAATCCTAGCAGTGCTTTTCAGATGGAAAAAGGCTGCCTTACAAGTGTCCTTGATATGGGGCTCAAAAGACAGAGTGGAGTCAAAAATCACTCCCATTAATTAATATGGCCTCTGACTTATTACTATTCAGACTCAGGAAGTTCTCAGTCATTCATGTCCTAACATCAGCTAAACAATTAATCAGCACTGAGGGTGGTAAACTGTGAGATGGTTTAGTGTATATATATAGATCTGCACATCGTCCACAAAACAATGAAACTGCAATCCATTTCGCCTGATGATGTCACCAAGGGGGAGCATGTACAATATAAAGAGCAAAGGGCCAAGAACTGACCCCTGAGGGACACCACATGACAGGGAGCACGAGTCAGATCTGTTACCTCCAATAGAGACAAACTGCTGCCTGTCTGCTAGATATGACTGAAATCAGGCAAGTGCAGTACCAGATATGTCAATCAAATTTTGAAGCCAATATAGTAGTAGGCTATGGCATACTGTATCAAAAGTGGCAGTAAGGTCTAATAGAACAAGCAAATTCAACAAACCCTTATCAGCTGCTATTAAGAGATCATTCACCACCCTAACAAGCGCAGTTTCAATGCTGTGATTCTTTCTAAAACCAGACTGGAGAACTTCAAACAGGTCAATGGATTCGATATGGGACATAGGACTTGCCTTATTGGCAATACTTCACAAAGCACTAAACTAAAGCCTGGACTTTTATACAAACTAATTACTAGTAATGGAAAACAGGTGTGTAGACTCAGAAGGTGAGGTAGAGCACTGAAATGAATGTCAGTTGGTTGCTGGTGATGATAGAGGAGTTATGATCTCTCACTGAATCATGGGAACTGGAGTTTTCCAGACAGTCCATTGACCCAAGTGAGCCAGCAGTTGAAAGGGAACCAATGGAGGAGACCCCCTCAGCAGGAGGCTTGACAGCACACTCTTTAACTTAAAAACTTTAAACATTTACTGATGTAATGAAGATCTTTAATCACATGTATATGTATGTGTATATATGAATCACATATAAAATTACATACATAATACAGTCAGCTCCAAAATTATTGGCATGCTTCATGAAAAAAATATCAACAATACATTGAATCAATCACACAGAATGACTGACAATCCAGATTTAAACAAATGAGTAAGCTGCATATGTTTATATGTTTAACTGGAACTGAAAAAAGGTTTCTTTACTAAGACAATAAAAACATATAAAGAAAAATTGGCATCTACATTTTTTTAATATTAATATTGGAATATTACCCCATCAGGTGAGAATAACAGCACTGAGCTGCTTTCTGTAATGCTTAACATGGTTGGAGAGCACTTGTCGAGGGATCTTGGATCACTCCTCTATGCAGAACAACTACAGTTCTTGATATTCTTGAGTGGATGGCCCTTTTCAGAAAACACTATATCTAGGTTTATATCTAGAACCTGGATGATATGTTTTTGTTACTATCTTTGTGTAAAATACTAAATCTACACCAACCTTAACCTCGGCAGGGACCTGAACCTCACAAAGAGAGAGAAGAGGATGTAAATGAAGCTCCAAGGGTGACATCACTTCCTGTAAGTAAATATATAAACCTGTAAGTTGCTTAATTGTAATGCAGTGGAACATTGTCTGACTTTCAAACTGTTTTGAATTTAAGGTTCCTGCTGCTGAAACACAAACGCCAACTTATCAGAGACAGAGGAGAGTCCCGGTATGCGCACACACACACACACACACACACACACACACACACACACACACTTTGTGATGCTGGTACAATGTTTCCTACAGTGTATGTATCCATAATTAATGTAATCTAGGTGTGCAATGGCTCACAAAACACAGTTTGGATCCTATCAGAGTTTTTGAGTCATGGATTAGATCATTTTCATGGATTTGCAGTTCCCATACCAGGTGGTGCTGACACCTGTTAAAATGCTCTCTACAGTACATGTGTAAAATGTTCTGAGGATGTGGGGGTTCATGCCAAACCTCCTCAGCCACCTGAAGTAGAACAGGTGCTGTAGTGCTTTCTTCACCCCCTGTGTGGGTGTTCAGTCCACGTCAGATCCTTTATGAGAATTTTTCCATGCATTACTGCATCCACTAAGAGGAGGTTTCTAGCTGCTGTTGAATATTTATACAGATTTTCTTTTCTAAAGTCTTGTTGCTCAGCAGCAGCCATTATAGCTAAAAATCCTGCTTTTTAGGTGGACACTATCTACAAATGAGTCAAATCTTTGCACAGCAATTTCAAAGACTTTTTGTTTGTTCTGTTTATTTTTCTTTAGGCAAAGCCTGACTTTTACAATGAGAAAGAAGAGGATATCAACAATCCTCCAGTGGTGATTTAATTTCTTCATTTATAATGCTTACAGTCTTTTTTCACATTTGCATTGTTCTAATATCATTCCTTGTATCAAATATCAAAACAATTTAATGATTTGTTCATAGCTATTAATAGTAAGTTAATAGTTTTTAAAGGAAGATATTATAAAGTCAGACTTGAAAGACAGTCATGTGAAGAAGTAAGCACATCCCATGAAATGTGTTCCTTTTTTGACATGTGCACTCTTAAAAAGATTCAAAGGTTTATAACTTTTCAAATTTATGAACTAACACAGATTAGTAAATTGGGTGATAAGTGGATTGCAGTGATGTCACAGTCATGTGTTAACTCAGAAGGTTCTGGGAACCAAAAGGGCCAGAGGGAGTCAGGAAAGTGTTCATGCCCAGCAAGCTCAGCTTTCCACTGAGATGCTGAGGGATCCCTACCTTGTCATCTGCTCTAAAGGCTGAGTCATGGACCTTCAGCAGCATGCACACCTCAGCAGTCATCCACAGCTTCTGATTGTTGTGTGTGGTGCTGGTCTTGGAGACGGTAACATCATCAATGCACTTGCAGATATAGCCCATCACTGATGCTGTATACTCCTCCAAGGGATGAGCACTGATCTTAGATCTGCATGATTAAAGTCACCAGCGACAAACAGTCCATCTGGATGCATGTTCTGCAGTTCACTGATGGCTCCATACAGCTCGCAGAGTGCCTGACAGCAGCTGAATGCTGGCATCGGGAATGCTGTCGCTAAGCCATGGTTCAGTAAAAACCAAAACATAGCAGTCTCTGACCTCTCGCTAGGTAGTCCGCTGGAGTTTGATGTAGTCCAGTTTATTGTCCAGTGAGCAGACATTGGAGAGTAGGTATGGAACCCAGCCCTCCCTCCCTGCTTTTGCCTCCTCTCACAGCACTTTTGGCGGGCCCTCCCCAGCCCCCTGTCAGGCAACGTTGAGGACACTCAGCTGCAAACAGGCCCTTGTGAGCTGGTAAACAGAAGCCATGGTGGTTTCCATGTACTTGCGACAAAAAACAACTTGCAACTTAAACTAATAACACAAAAAAACACCATTTGTCAGACCGGGAGAGGCTGCTGCATGGCTACTGCGCTGCCTTCTTCAATGTTTCTTGAGTGTTATTCTCAAGAAGGTGTTTCAAAACAGAATTAACCTATTTAAATGTGAGAATAAAGGTCAGAAGAGTACATGAAGATGTCATCTATGTCTGCAATTAGAAACTTGCCTATGATGTCTCTTAGCATGTCATTTATGAAGGCTTGAAAAATGGACAGAACACCTGAGAGGCCAAGCGTATAATTTTCTCTATTTGCATGGATCAACTGATTCATGACTGCAAAATTCGAAGAATCAAGTTGGCAGTGGTGGTAAATCTTCTCCACTTGTTGAAGATCTTCCAGACAGTGGAATGATTCATTTATAATGTTGTGGTTATCTTCTTAAACCTCATTCCAGACTCATAGGCATCTAAAACGTTCTTTCTAAAGGTCTCAAGAGCTCTTTTGATCTAGGCATGGTGATACCACACACTCCAATAACAAAGAGCAAACCAGACTAGATATGAGGTTTAAAAAAGACAGTTTCCTCCAAGACATTCTGTAGCAGTGTTCTAATCATTAGCACTTGATCGAGTTTTTTTTCCATTTGACACATTTTAAGTAGTGATATCTGTAGGAATGTACTTAATTTTTCCACATATTGCATTACTACTTATTTCAGTAATATAAAGGATGACAAAATGTTATTTCCAAGTGCTTCTTGTTAGATCATATCACTTTTATCTATCAACACTGTTTAAATAAATGCTTGATATCCATTTCTCCAAATATGCTGAAAAAATCACGTTTATTGTCACATCACATTTACACAGGTGGAAAGTGGGTGAAAATCTTAGATCCATAGCCCCTTATAGAATTTAAATACAACAAAATATGCAAATATCTAAGATGAAAAAGAAATATATATTCACTGACTCTGAATATACACATATACAATATACAATAGTATTGCACTATTCCAATGTACAGTTGTACAGTAATATGTTATGAAATAAAACTATGAAATCTACTGTTGTACACATTCCGTATGTGCAGTGAGTCTGAGGTAGATAATAAATGAGATGCAGGAACACAGAGGATAGGATATTGGTATAGAAATCTTCCAGATTATATAAGATATGGATAGATGTACAAGATGTCAGTCTATATGTGCAAGTACAGATTTGCTAGATTGAAGGTGCAGAGTATCAGAGTGAGTCTTATGAGATGTGGATGAGGTGTAGATTGTCCATGGAAATGATGACTTAGAGGTGCAGTGACGGGCCCATAGGCCAATACACCAGCACTACTGGCTGTTCAGCAGTCTGATGGCCCGGGGGAAGAAAATGTCTCGGAACCGGCTGGTTCTGGAAATTTTGCTTCTCTACCTCCTCCTGCTCGGCAGCTGTGAGAACAGACAGTGGCCTGGGTGGGTGGAGTCCTTTAGAATCCTCCTGGTCTTCCTCAGGCAGCGGCTGATGTATAAATCCAGGAGGTTTGGGAGCTGGACCCCGGTGATGTGCTGGGCTGTCCGCACCACCCTCTGCAGAGCTTTCCGCTCAATGGCAGTGCAGTTTCCATACCAGGAGGTTATGGAACCTGTTAGAATGCTCTCCACGGTACATGTGTAGAATGTTCTGAGGATGTGGGGGTTCATGTCAAACCTCTTCAGCTGCCTGAGGTGGAAGAGGCACTGTTGTGTCTTTTTACCACCGGTGTGGTGTGTTCGTTCCATGTCAGTTCCTCTGTGATGTGAACACGGAGGAACTTGAAGCTGCTGACCCTCTCTACAGTGGCTCCGTTGACGGTGATGGGGGTATGCACTCTCTCCTGCTTCCTGAAGTCCACTATGAGCTCCTTGGTCATGTCAACAGTGAGAGAGAGTTTGTTCTCCTGGCACCAGAGTGTACTTTCTGTAGGCCTCCTTGTTGTCATTGGAGATCAGTCCAACAATTGTGGTGTCATCTGCAAATTTGATGATGACATTGGAGCTGTGTCTCGCTGAGCAGTCGTGGGTGTACAGGGAGTACAAGAGAGGGCTGAGCACACAGCCCTGAGGAGCTCTGGTGTTAAGGGTCAGCGAGGAGGAGGTGATGTTGCGCATCTTTACCACCTGGCGTCGGCCTGTCAGGAAGTTCAGGATCCAGCTGCACAGAGAACTTTTCAAACCCAGATCCTGAAGCTTAATGTCGAGCCTTGAGGGCACAATGGTGTTGAATGCTGAGCTGCAGTCCACAAACAGCAATTCTCACGTGTGTGTTCTTTTTGTCCAGATGGGAGAGGGCAGGGCTATTGTGTCACCAGTGGATCTGTTCTGTCTGTAAGCAAACTGCAGTGGGTCCAGAGTGGCAGGTAGTGAGGAGCAGATAAAGTTTCTGACCAACTTCTCAAAGCACTTGCTTATGGTGGAGGTCAGAGCAAATGGGCACCAGCCATTTAGAATATTAACCCTGGCTGACTTTGGAACTGGCATAATGGTGGCCAGTTTGAAGCACACGGGAACAACTGACAGTGAGAGAGAGAGAGAGGTTAAAAATGTCTGTAAAAACTTCTGCCAGCTAATGACAGGCTTTGAGAGCGCGTGCAGGGATCCCATCAGGCCTGGCTGCCTTGCGGATGTTAACGCGCTTGAAGGCACTGCACACGTCGGTCACAGAGACGGAGGGGGCTGTGGACTCGGCGGTAGCGGGGGCGGGGACTCTTTCCACGTGCGCGGTGTGATTTACCTCGAAACAGGCGTAGAAAACATTCAGTTCATCTGGAAGCGCAGCACTGATGTTATTCACAGAATGAGTTTTCCTCCGTTAAGTCCGTTAATTTGTTTAGCCCCTCCCACAGGCTCCTCGTGTTGGTGGTGTTGAACTGTGACCCCACTTGTACTCGCGTTTGGCTGCTCTTATGGCCTTCAGAGAGCATAGCTGGCTTTTTTATACTCATCCGTGTTTCCTGATTTAAAAGCAGCGGTACGCGCATTTGGAGCAGCACGGACCTCACAGTTAAGTCATGGTTTCTGATTGGGGTAAACATAAACTGTTTTTGTGGGCACAACATCCTCTATACTCTTTCTGATGAACCCGGTAACTGAGTCTGCATATTCATCAATGTTAATGTTTGACGCCTCGCAGAACATCTCCCAGTCTGTCATCAAAACAGTCCTGAAACACTGAATCCGATTGGTCCGACCAGTGGTGGACCTCCCTGAAGGTGGGTGGTGCCCTTTTCAGCTTCTGCCTATAGGTGGGCAGGAGCAGGATGGAGAGATTTATCCGATTTGCCAAACGGAGGTTGGAGGAGGGCTTTGTATGCCTTACAGAAGCAGGAGTAGCAGTGGTCCAGCATGCATGATCTTCATGTGCTGCATGAGACGTATTGGAAGTACTTTGGAGTGACTTCCCTAAAGTTTGCTTTGTTGAAGTCCCCAACAACAATGGAGGTGGCCTCCGGGCGCACAGTCTCCTGCCTGTTAACAGCCAAGTAAAATCCAACTAAAAAAAGCCAATTAAAATCCAACTAATGAAAAAGAATGATAAAAAGGTGTGACAACTTAGAATTCTGACTTGGAGAAACATTTGAATGAATGTTCATTGGTAGATGGCCATAGGAGAAGAGTCATGTGATCTCCCACTGACTCAGGACAGTTGGACTCCTCTAGACACTCCATATTTATGGCCATGTAAACAAAGTCGCAGTGCATAGTAATATGAGTGGAGTGCAGTTTGTTGAGCTCTTTTCAACCACCATCTCAAAACCATTCAGTGAGCAGCCCAAGACAGAATCAGCCTTCCTGCTCAGTTTGTTGAGCTTTTTTGCAGCAGTCTGCTGTGGAGACAGCATCAGCATCCCCTCCTCTGATGCTGCCTCCACAGCAGACTGCGGCAAAGAAGACAGCACCTGCAACAACAGACTGGTAGAAGATCTCCAACATCTTGGTGCACAAATTAAAGGACCAAAGTCAGAAAGTAGAGACTGCTCATCCCCTTTCTTGTACACAGCCTCTGTGTTGGCCCTCCAGTGCAGTTTGTTGTCCAGCAGGACACCCAGATATTTGTAGGTTTCTACCAACTCAGCACTCTGACCCATGATGGTAACGGGACAGATCGTGGTCCTCTTCCTCCTCCACCAGACATAAAGGTCCATCTTCTGCTCACTGTTCTTAATGTCCTCACTACCTTTACATGCTTGTATTTACCAAGGGTCTCTACGAGAACCAAACCAATCCAGAAGGTTTGTCAAAAATTCTGCAGGAGTATCAATAGCAGAGGCATTTGGTAAACTTGGTAAACCTGGGGTGGAGACCTGAGATTCAGTTTACTATTACATCTACTGAACACTCGAAGATTTTCCATCCACTAAGTTGAGGTTTCTAGCTGCTGTTGTGTATATATACACAGATTTATTTTTTTCCTAAAGACTTGGTTGCTCAGCAGCAGCAGCCACTACAGCTAAAAGTTCTGCTTTTAAGATGGACACTATCTACTAATGAATCAAATCTCATCACAGCAATTTCAAAATCAAAAGGTTTTTTTTCTATTCATTTTTCTATGTTTAGACAAAGCCTGATTTTGGCAAATTGAAAGAAGAGGACATAAACACTTCTCTAATGGTAATTTAATTTCTTCTTTCTTGCTTACAATCTTTTTCATATTTGCATTGCTCTAAAATAATTCCTTGTATATATTTGTTGAAGCTGATGAGAGATTTTAAAACTGTTTCTATCTTTAGGTTTCTGCTCCTCCGCTACAAGTTCTGACTCCCCAAAAACGCAAACATAGTCTGGTATGTACACAATTACAATGTGCACACTGCAGCGTTTATAAGTGTGTCTGTTATATTAGAACAGAAAACACCAACATCAAATATATGAACTGCTACTAATAAACATTTGCAAATGTTTAAATTCTGATGAACTAACAATTTGTTCATAGCTATGAATGGTCAGTTAATGGTTTATTAAATGAGGTTATTAAAAAGTCAGACATGACAGGAATATAAATAGATGGTTCTTCAAGGGTTATCTAGTAAAAACAATAGTTCTATATAGAACCATTTGCTTGCTAAAATGGTTCTTTACATGGTGAAATTGTTCTTATTTATCTGATTTATGTGGTTCTATGTAGAAACTTTTTGTAAAGGGTGCATCTGTTGTTACAAGCTTGTAATTATATATAGCAAAAAAGCCTATACAGTGCTATACAGAAACCCTTTCAAACATGTTCTATATACAACACATTCTCCATCAACCTGAAGACTTTCACCGTGCAAAGAACCCTTTAAGATGTTCTTAAGATTGTTAATAATTATATATTTGATCGTAAGTTAAACAGTGTGTACAGATAAACAAAGTCTTTTTGTTTGTTCTATTATTTTCTTCTATTTTTAGTCAAATCCTGATCCTCACAAAGATAAAGACAAACACTTCTCTAATTTAATTTCTTGTCTCCTAATAATTACAATCTTTTTCATATTTGCATAGTTCTAAAATCATTCCTTATATTAAATATTGCTTATTAAACTGAATAGTTAATGACCAGGCCAATGTGTGTTTTAAATTAAATGCAACTATAAATTATATATTAGTTGAAGCTGAGGAGTGACTTTCAAACTGTTTCTATCTTTAGGTTTCTGCTCCTCAGCAACAACCTCAAACTCCTCAGAAACACAATAGTGATTCGGTACGTACACAATCACAACATGCACATTGCAATGTTTATACCCATGGATGTAATATTTGTTCAGGAAAACACCAACACAACTATATATTAAGTATAAACAATTGAAAATGTTTAATTTCTGATAAACGTATGATTTGTTCATTGTTAATTGTTAAGTCAATGGTTTAATAAATGATGTTATTAAAATGTCAGACATGATGGACCTTTTGTAGTGCTATATAGAAAGCTATAGAAGACATTCCATATAGTACCATTTCCAACACATTCTCAAGCAATCTGAAGAATGATTTCACCATGCAAAGAAATGTTTAAGCATGCGAATGGTTCTTTGAGTGTTCATGGTTCTGCATTGAGCCACTGTCTTTATTATGACAACCATGTTTATTAAGACTGTGGACGCATCAGTATTTGATCTTAAGTTACATTCTGTTGAGAACGTAAGTGCACCCCTGGCTGCAGTATCTGGTACTGCCCTCTTTGGCAGAAACAGCTTCATATGGATGGTTTTGTCTACCAGTTTCTGACATCTACTCAGAGAAATCTTTGCCCACTCTTCAGTGCAGAATTCTTTCAGGTGTGCAGTGTTTAAAGGACTTTTTGCATGTGCAGGCTTTCAGTGGGATTCAGATCTGGGCTTTGACTGGGCCATTCCATAACCCTCAATTTCTACCTTGATGGATTTACTTGTATGTTTGGGATCACTGTCCAGTTGGAAGGTCCACTTCTTCAGCTTCAACTTCTTTATAGCTACAACTTTTTTACATTCTCCTCCAGCACTCTCTGGTATGTAAGGGAGTTCATAGTCAAGTTATGATTGCAAGTTGGCCAGCAAAGCAGCTCCAAACCATAACACTGCCACCACCATGCTTTACAGCTGGTATGAGTTTCTTTTAATCAAATGCGTTCTTTGTTTTTAACCAAACAGTGCTTCTGACACTGGCCAAACAACTCTCTTTAACTCATCCGTCCAGAGAACACTGTTCCACAAGTCCTTCTGGCGCACCTCCCATGTAGTCCAAATTTGTTCACTCTTGTTCTAATGGTAGGCACTTTTACATCAAGAATGGCAAGACACTTATTTTAGCATCTCACTATCTGCTCTCGGGTTAAATTTCGTGGGTGAATTGGCAGTGGTTTTAAATCTTCTCCACTTGTAGATGATCTTATGGATAGTGGAATGACTAATTTCTAATGTTTTGAATATTTTCTTAAACGATTTTCTTAAACCTCGTCCACCACTGCAGAATGCCGTTAGCTCTTCAAGCAGAAGCGTGCTGCAGTGGAGCCAGGTCTCTGAAAAGATGAAAATACAGAGTCTGGTTTCATGATGTGTCATGAGTCTGAGTTTAAGCTTGTCCAGTTTGTTTTCCAGAGAACAAACATTTGCTAGTAGAAGGCTGTGTAGCGGAATCCGCTTTATCCCCACTTCACCACTTTTATCACCACATCGGTGCATCATCCCCACTTGTGCTTATGAACATTTATAGCATTTAACAGATGCTCCATCTCCAGCTTTGTGATTTTAGCAGGAGGTGCACATGGCAGCACATTCATGGGCAGGAAGGCCCAAACAAGCAACTCTCTCTCTCCTTCATTCCCTCTCTGTGCGTACTGGAAATGCCCAGGCTCTCCACAACACCAACACACCTGCCCAGGCAAGTGTGGGGGAAGAGTTTAGGGGCTAGAGCTCCCTTTTTTCTGGAGTAGGCACAGAGAGGGAATGAAGGAGAGAGAGGGTTGCTTGTTTGGGCCTTCCTGCCCACAAATGCGCTGCCATGTGCACCTCCTGCTAAAATCACAGAGCTGGTGAGCCAACATGAAGAGCCGGTCAAGCTCACGAAGAGTCAGTGAGCGGAACCGCTGATGGTGTTGTTCCTAAGTCCAAATCTCTGAAGTGTGGCTTTTTCAGTTCATCATACTCCAGCTGTTGGGCAGCAAGCTGGGCCTCCCCCATGAGCAGGGGCAGCAGTTGGATTGCCCAGTCCTCCGCTGCTCTCTGGCAGAACTCCACAAAAGCCTCTGGGTCATCTTGTGGAGTCACCCTTTGACTCCTGGCTGTAGCTGGAGTACTGGTTGCCATCAGCAAACTCCACATGAGCTTCCTGTCCACTTCTTCGCCCTGTGCAGGGCCTTGAAGTGGGCCTGGTTTTCCCTCTGGCAATCCAGGAGAGACTGATGTTGACTCTGCTGCTGGATGGAGAGTGCTTTAATAATCTCTCCAAGCAGTGAGGACTCCATGGTGACGTTTGGTCTAAAGAGAGGTGTCTCTTTAGTCCGCATTTGAAGACTGCAAAAAAGTTGCTGTTCAGACAGCCAGTGAAAGTTTGTTCCACCATCTGGGTGCGAGGTAATACAAGAGTCTTTAAATATTTATTCCCAGGGGCTGATTAGTTTTGGAAGAAAAAAAAAAAACATGAAAACTGGATGGAACATGGACTTGTGGACTATTGGGCCCTTCAGGTCTACAAGGCTTCCTTATCCATGTTTCTTATAAGGACATATGGGCTGGTGGGCTATGCTGCTTCCTAGTCCAGAGCAGGCTGGTGGATTCTCTGCTTTATACAAGTGATAATATTGATGATGATACTGGTGGTGCTGATGGCACCCTAACTTCCACATCAGAATACTTCCTGTTTTTCCTCATAGTTCAACACTGCAGTGAATTATAGGTCAGGTTCTCTGTGTTTAGGTGAAACCTGCTCCTCAGAAACAGAGACAAAAGAATGAAAATGCTGTTCAAGTGGTGACATCATTTCTTTTTTCATATTCACATCATCCTAAAATTATTCCCCATCAAATATCACTTCTTAAACTAATGACCTTCACTGACACATGTAAACTGAAACTAAATTAAAAAAAAAATCACTTTAGTCAATGGAAAATTAAGTTTAAGTAAATTTAAATCTGTTTCTCTTTAGAATTTTTCTGCTTCTCCAAGCAGACGTGAAACTTCTCATAGACCTACAGGAGTACAGGTATACACACACACACACACACACACACGCACACACACACACAAACACACACACACACAGTCTCTGCAGTCTCTGCTTGTTAGGCCTTAAATGATTTGTTAGACAAACAATATGAGTTAATATGTTAATTTACAAACTACTTGCATATATTAGCTAACTGCTAGCTAGCCAACATTCCATTAGTGTTTTTAATGACTGCAGAGAGCATGACGGCAAGAAAAAAATCCCAACACATAAAAATCTTGATCTTGATCTTGATTTGAAAACCTCCTCAAAACTTCAAATTTTATCTCTTTTAGTGGCTCCACCCCCGTAAGCATCAGCTCCTCTAAGCTGGTGGCTGAGGATCTGAAAATTAAACAGCTTACAGCCTCCACCTTTACACAAGCTGTGATTAAGAAATGACAGTTAAGAGGAGCTGTAAAAGTCACGCAAGATCTGGAAGACTACCAGTTAGAACTGCTGATATGTTGTTCAGAAAGACAAAACAACCCTAACCCTAACCCCCATAAAAATTTCCCATTCGGCACTGCTTCTTGTGAGGAGAGATTCACTAAAGCATATCTTAGGTCCAGCATGGCACATAAAAGACTAAAAAATATACGTGCTCTGTCTATCAGATCTGAAAGGCTAAAGGCTATGAACCTCTATAAATAGCTTAGCGCTAAGCAACTATTATGACTACAGCGAATTTCATATGAGGCCTTTGATGTAAGAGATCTTACGTTAAGCAGTCCTTAAGTAGGCCAGTGCTGTGAAAAAGTATTTGGAACAGTGGTGGACTTTTACTGGTGGCTCCACCCATGAAAAATTTGTGATGCCCTTGAACTGATGGATTTGTGCCCACCAACTGCTGCATGTTCAGCTCCTCCAGCGCTGGTGGGTTCCCCAACAGAAGACAAAGGCCTCACTGCTAGGGAGCCTCAGGTTTCCAATTTGATTCAGTTGCTGGCCACTGCATGCTGCCCTTCTTGCCTCTTCTCCAAGCTCAGCATGCCTTCCTGAGGCTGCCCCAGTTGTTGCTAAGGAGGCCAAGCTTAGTATGCACACATCCCATATGAGCTCAAGCCAGAACTTCTGTAATCGGCTCAGACCCCTAGTAACCCCTAGACCCACTATTAACAAACATGAATTGGAGGGTCAGTACCTCTCAAGGTGCACATATTGCTTCAGCTCCTCCAGCAGCAGTGTGTTCAGGAAATACTCCAAAACTGATTACTCATACCCTGCCCTCTCGAATGCTGGGTATGCTTGCCGGATTATTGTGCTTAGCTCTGCTGCCAGTATACACTATTTCCAAAAGTATTCACTCACCCATCCAAATCATTGAATTCAGGTGTTCCAACCACTTCCATGGCCACAGGTATATAAAACCAAGTACTTAGGCCTGCAGACTGCTTCTACAAACATTAGTGAAAGAATGGGTCGCTCTCAGGAGCTCAGTGAATTCCAGCATGGTACCGTGATAGGATGCCACCTGTGGAAGCGATTGGGAATGACAGCAACTCAGCCACGAAGTGGTCGGCCACGTAAAATGACATGGGTCAGCAGATGCTGAGGCACATAGTGCTCAGAGGTCACCAACTTTCTGCAGAGTCAATCAGTACAGACCTCCAAACTTCATGTGGCCTTCAGATCAGCTCAAGAACAGCGTAGAGAGCTTCATGGAATGGGTTTCCATGGCCGAGCAGCTGCATCCAAGCCTTACATCACCAAGCACAATGCAAAGCGTTGAATGCAGTGGTGTAAAGCGCCACCACTGGACTCTAGAGCAGTGGAGACATGTTCTCTGGAATGACGAATCACGCTTCTCCGTCTGGCAATCCGATGGAAGAGTCTGGATTTGGAGGTTGCCAGGGGAACGGTTCTTGTCTGACTGCATTGTGCCAAGTGTAAAGTTTGGTGGAGGGGGATTATGGTGTGGGGTTGTTTTTCAGGAGTTGGGCTCGGCCCCTTAGTTCCGGTGAAAGGAACTCTTAATGCTTCAGCACCAAGAGATTTTGGACAATTTCATGCTCCCAACTTTGTGGGAACAGTTTGGGGACGACCCCTTACTGTTCCAACATGACTGCGCACAAGTGCACAAAACAAGGTCCATAAAGACATGGATGAGCGAGTTTGGTGTGGAAGAACTTGACTGGCCTCAACCCCACAGGACACCTTTGGGATGAATTAGGGTGGAGACTGCAAGCCAGGCCTTCTCGCCCAACATCAGTGTCTGACCTCACAAATGTGCTTCTGGAAGAATGGTCAAAAATTCCCATAAACACTCCTAAACCTTGTGGAAAGCCTTCCCGGAAGAATCGAAACTGTTATAGCTGCAAAGGGTGGGCCGAATGGGATGTCACTCAAGTTCATATGCATGTGAAGGCACATGAGTGAATACTTTTGGAAATATAGTGTACTTATCTGCTGTCCCTTTTGCCTCCTTTTGTCCAGAAACATTCTCCTATCTGACAGCACAATAAATACCTGTCCAAACTGCCACTAGGTCCCTGTGCTGTGCCAGTCACAGCTGAATCATGGTGACAAACGCTGTCCAGCTGTAATGTTTGGTGACCACTTGTAGCTGCACAGATTACAGCTACGGCACCTGAGATGGAATAGGGTTGTGGTGCTTTCTGAACAGTGTATACAGCATACTGCACGATACTCTTTATCGCAGTATGCAATGATTGACATCATCAATCACATGACCACTGTGCAGTTACGCCCATGGTTATATCCTCCTTAAAAGATTGCAATGCACAGTGCTATCCGGGTGTCCTTGGCACCCTGTAGAAAGTTATGTTGATCACCAACTGCACACTTTTGGATACAGTAAGTACATGAGCAGTATGTGTAGTAGACTAACAGGGTCACTGTCTCATTCCCTTCAAATCCTGAGCTAGATCCTATAAAAACAGAATATGTAATTCCTGTTTCTCTGTATTACATTTTTGGTTAAGTTTTTTTTTTTCTAAGAACGTGATTTGGCCTGGTTTGTCTCTGTTCCAGTCCAGTTTTGCTCTCGCCCGGATGCTGTCACGGATCACACCCAGCTGGCTCACATCCAGCCACCGTTAATCCCCTCTGCCCAAGTTGCCCAGTCATACAGGATCTCTTCTATGGATAACATTGTACATTTGAAGTTGAGCACTAAGGAGATGTTCTTTTTCAAAGTCACCACTGTGTCTCTGCATTAACTCCCCCAAGGCCTCTTTCCTCATCATTGTTACCTGTGTCTTTACTTATGCAATTCTGTCACCTCACCAGCATTGCACCAATTTTTTACTGTAATCATTGGTGTCACCTGTGCCTAGTTGATTAAATAAACAGTAATTATGTAGTGATTTTCTAATTCTAAAACTGATTCCTTCTCGTAAATTTTTGTTTTACTTAATCTTTGTGTTTCATTGCGAAATGTCTCTTGGAGCTGGGATCTTAACCAGTGGAAAAAAGAAGTAGATGGAGTTAGGTTAGGCCAGAGTCCAGACAGGGTGGATCCAGGACTGGGATGCTGTGACAGAACTCCCAACAGACAAAACGTAAGATCCTCAAAAAAGGAACATAACTACTTCGGGACAACTAAAAGGTAAGGCTGGGTTAACAATGGGACAAGAGTTCTGGTAAACTGTGTGAAACTGGGTGCATGACGCACTGAACACTCTCTCGCGAGACCCTGTGCGAGAACCAAGATGGTGGCTCCTTGCTGCTAGACAACCAGCCAAACAACGCTCCTAAAATTCTGAAAGTGAGACATTTACTCAGACTTATCAACTTGTCGCCCTGGAATCCCTCAAGGAATACATCGACCACCACTACTACAATGTTGTCATCATGAATAAGGACAAAAAAGAAGATAAAACCAAAGGTAAACAACTCCAAACACCCACCGGTAAACAACCCCGACCACCCAGCTCACCGGCAGACACAGAGGAGCCAACTTCACCAACATGCTGCACAGAGGTCAGTCCTATCTTGCTCTCCATTAACAGCAAGCCCTCAGCACTAGATGACTATCCCTGGTCGAAATACTTCACAAAGAATTCCAGCCAGGAGCAAATCCTGACACTAACTAAAGAAAACAAAACACTGCAGCACCGTCAGTGAACTCACAGCCCAAATATCATCAGTTATGAAAGACAACAAACAAATGAAAGAAACAATCCTGGACTTACAGGCACGTAGTACGAGAGACATCGTCTTCTCTGGCATTCCCGAACACACACCGGAAAACCCCGAAGATCTCCTAAAGGATTTCATGGTCACTAAACTCAAAATCTCACCGGAACTAGCCTCATCTATTACACTTCACCGTGCACACCAATTAGGAGGGAAAAAACAGATAAACAAGCGACCGCGACCCATCGGCGCTAAAGTCGAGCACTATAAACAAAAAGCTCATCATAGTAAAGGAAGAGAACTCAGAGGAACAGATTTCGGAATTAATGACCAGTTTCCACGGGTCTGTGCTGCGGGTGCTTGTTTGTCTACGTGTATATGCCAAGTTGTAACTTCTTTCTTTCTTTCTTTCTTTCTCTCTCTCTCTCTCTCTCTCTCTCTATTGTGCACACTCACACGTGCGCACGCACACGCTCACTCATGCAGACGCATGCAGGATCCCACATTGACCCACACACCCTGTAAAATATATGCAACGTCCTAGGCTGTACTTAGGAATAACAAAATGCACCAAGGTCTGCTACTGTATGCCTCTCAAACCAAACACTACTTATATTCTTTTCTCCTTTTTCTCTTGTTAATTACTTGCTCTCCGTTGTAATTTTTTTTTTTTGTCCTCTCTTCCCATATTCTTTTTTTTTTCTCTGAAAAAACAAACACTAAACAAGACCTCTCTTATCACTGCCATATATTCCGGACATTAAAGATGTATCTCTGCTCACATACACAACACTCTACACCACACACACCAGAAGACAAGTACAAACATCTTCACACTCATTTAACAGCTTTAATACACACAATTGAATTCTACACTACACATGTTGTCACTTAAGTTTGTTACCTGGAACATTCGTGGTATTGGCACACAGGCTAAACAGACCAAGGTACTTCACCTTCTGTCTTCTTTAAAGGCAGATATCTGTTTATTACAGGAAACACATCTATCTGAAACAAATCATCACAAAGTCAGCACAGTTCAGTTACATATTCTCAGCTACAATTCCAAACAAAGAGGTGTTTCCATCCTAATAAATCAAAAACTCACTTTCAAACATAACATCACGATATCAGACCCAGAAGAAAGGTATATCATAATCAACATTAGCATCTCCAACATCTCCTTAACTACTGCAAATATATATGGCCCAAATACTGATGACCCACCCTTTTTCCAAGAATTTTTCAATCATCTTTATAATGTCTCAGATTCCGCAATTATAATTGGAGGTGACTTCAATACCATCATGGACCCATATCTAGACAGAAAAACCAGTGCACACTCCACCCGTAATTGGCAATCAACAGATACCATGAATGGTGAATGATTTGGGGCTCAGCGATGGTTGGCGCCTCAAACATCCAATGACCAAAGAATTCTCTTTTTATTCACTAGTTCACGGCTCACACTCTCACATTGATTTCTTCTAACCAGTAACTCTATTACATGTAATATCTCAGACATAATATACCACCCTATAATAATTAGTGACCAGAGCCCTGTTTCACTCAAGTGGAATATAAATCATGTACATAAATCTTTCAGATGGCACCTAAATACTTCTCTCCTAAAAGATCTAGAAATTGATAGTTATATCAGAAAAGAGTGGCATCCTTCCTAGAAATAAATGACTCTCCAGAAACCCCACCAACACTACTTTGGGAAACCGGGAAAGCCGTACTAAGAGGCAAAATAATATCCTACTCTTCCCATAAGAAAAAGAAAGATACAGAAAACTAATCTTCAACAAAAAATTAAGGAATTATCAAATAAGATGTTAAACAACCCAACAGACAAAACTGAAAATGAGCTAAGGAAATGTAACACACAATACAACAAACTCATAAATAAGAAGACTCAATTCCAAATGCAACAAATAAGACACAAAAATTTTGAACACAGCAACAAATCTGGAAAACTCTTGGCTAATCTAATAAAACATAACAAAGAAAAAACAACAATACCAGTAATCAAGGATGAGACAGGAAATATTATGCAATCCAGAAACAGAGGACATTTGCACTTTTCTTAATAACATAGACCTTCCAAGACTGAAAAAGAACAAACACAAATACTGGAAAATCCAATAACATCAGAAGAGCTTTATAATGCCCTTCACCACATGTGTAATAATAAAGCACCTGGTCCTGACGGCTTTCCCCCTGAATTTTATAAACATTTCTGGACAATACTCGCTCCACTATTCAATAGAATGACAGCAGAAATAAAGCATAACAAGATTCTACCATCTGAAATGAATACCGCTATAATCTCACTTCATCTCAAACCTAACAAAGACCCCACCCTACCCTCCAGCTACCGTCCAATATCACTCATTAACACAGACATAAAAATTATAAGCAAGACCTTGGTGACTAGATTAGAAACAGTTATCCCATCACTTATACACCCCAATCAGACTGGCTTCATCAAAGGAAGACAGACTACTTAACTTGATACACCACACATCAATTCACAAATCAGAAACTGCAATAGTTACATTAGATGCAGAGAAAGCTTTTGATGAAGTTAATTGGAAATTCTTGTTCACCACATTGCACAAAGTAGGGTTCAGAGAATCATTTATTAATTGGATAAAAATTCTTTACACTGCACCCAAAGCCACAATCAATACTAATGGACTAATATCACCAAATTTCACACTGCACAGAGGTACTAGGCAAGGATGCCCCCTCTCACCCCTCCTATTCTCAATCTTTATAGAACCGTTGACAGCAGCTATACGACAAAACACAAACATAAAAGGTATCCAAACCCAAACTGCAGAACACAAAATCAGTTTATATGCAGATGACATTCTACTGTTTTTGCAGAACCACCTAGGATCAAATTAGTTACATTACAGAAGCAGAACCCAGGGAGGCCTCCAACCCCCCAATTTCCAACAATACTTCCTAGCAAATCAATTACAATACATAAAAAATGGATAAAGCCTAGTCAAACAGATGAATCATGGAGAGCAGTAGAAGAAGCTTCAAGTAATGAAATACAACTCTCAGACTTACCATTCATTAGTACAACACTCAAACGCCATCCTGTTTCAAAAACCCAATGATAGCATCAACACTGACAGCTTGGTGGAAACTGCACAAGAGCACTGACACTATAATGTCACCCTCCAAACACTCACCCATATGGCACGACCCCGACGTCCCTCCATCAAAAAAACAACAACTCTACACAAATGGACTCTACCGACAACCATGGACAACCATACTGGGAAACACATTTAGCATGACTAACAATACTAACCTCCACCTCATACAATATAAGGTAATTCACAGAGTACACTACACTGGGCAAAGGCTCTATAAAATGGGATTAATAGACTCTGAAATCTGTATACACTGTTCCTTAAACACTCCTGACTATTATATACATGCCCTGTGGCATTGCACTCCAGTCAAGTACTTCTGGCAACTTGTTATGAATCAACTAACTCTACTGTTAAAACAACCTATCTCCCCATCCCCATCACTCCATCTGTTAGGTGACACATCATCAGTCCATCTAAACAAGGAAGAAAACAGAACATTTTGGTGGCGCTGACCATCGCTAAAAAGACTATTCTGACAAACTGGGAAACAAGGAAAAAGATTACCATCAATCAATGGAAAAACTTTCTATTAGAACACAAAGCTACGGAGAAAATCTCAGCATCTATCAAAAACAAATCTCATGAATACGAAAAAACATGGTCAACACTTAATAGCATTCTACAACCACCTTAACTTCCATCGGCTTTTATACCTACCTGTGGTGCCTCTACCCGAATGTTCCTGGTCACGTATTAGTGCACACACACACAAATAAAATATATGGCAGATATTATAAATAGCTATAGCTCAATTTATTGCCAGAGTACAAATATCACAATTACCGTTTTTTTGTTTTGTTTTGTTTTTGTTTTTTTGTCTCCTTCCTGTTTTACATGTGTAAATATGTGTACATATGTTTGCTCTTCTCTTCCAATTTCTATCCTTTTATTTGATTGTATTTTTTTTCTTCTTTATTCCCCCTTGCAATTTTTGTTTGCTTGTATGTTTGCAGTTTGTTGTCCTCCCTCTACACAATGACAGTATATACTAAAAGAAATTTGTAGTAACAATAATAAAGAAAAAATTGGTCCTCCAAAGAGGGGGGGTGGTGGCGGGCAAAAAAAAAAAGTTCTGGTCCATGACAGGTCTGGGAATCGCTGGAACTGAAAAAGGTGCAGGACAGGGACAGTGGCAGGGACAAAACTAAAAACAATACAGACCAGACAGATATGTCAGAGACTAATAGTAACAGAGAACAGCTCCTGAAATAAGGACTAGGTTATAAAACTGACTGAAACTAACCATGTAGAGAACAAACGTGTTCACAGATAACACAAGTAAAATATTGAAGCAGAGGTAGACAAGAAGATTCCATGGTACTTTTGACATAGAAACAAGAGCTGAATAGGAAGACTGGGCCAGGGGCCAAATTTACAGCAGAAACAGAAAGAGCAACTGAGAAAGGATAAGAATTTAATAAATACATGAGCTCAATAAAAACTCAGAAGGACCCTGAGCAGTGACTGGTGGGATGTCTCCAAATAACCCCTCAAACATAAACCCACTTTCCCTGGACCAGGGCTGCATTTGGAATTTGACAAAGAAATAAGAGCTGGATCTGCATCTGCAACAGAAACAACACCACCTGATTGTGAGACTTGAGCAGCTGGACAACTAATGAGGTTTGGGCACACAGACCATCAGGAGGTGAGATTTGGGCAGGTGGTCCTTTTGAAAGGTGAGGCCTAGCCAGTTGGACTACCAGGAGATGCTTGAGTACCTGCACCACCAGAAGATGATAATTCAGTAGCTGGACCATGTGGAAGTAATATAGTCTCCAAGAAACAATATAGAAATAACTTTGAGGGGTGAGTGTTGAAGGTCCAGTGTGAAATCCTGGCAGACACAGTGGGGGATTTAGTATTGGACACTGGAGTCATGTCAGGTACTTCAGACTCAGAGGCAATAGAGAGGCTGGCAGAGTTAGGACACTTGAGGACACCTCTGTGAAAGGTCATGTCTTCAGTGATAGGTCATATTATGGCTTCCTCTTCAGTAGAACAGACAAACAGAACTTTGAAGAGGACCAAACGTTTTTCTAATGTTTGGAAGTGTCCTTACTCTAGGAGAGAGTTCATCAGCCCATTGTGCACTGTAAATGGAAATACTTGGAATTATACTCTAAGAAATAAAGGTATAAAACTCACTGGGGCAGTGCAACTTTGTGGCACTGGGGTGAAACCCTCAAGGGTTAGGGAACACTATTGCACCATAATTGTACAGTTGTACAATTATAGTTGTACTGACTCCACACCCCCCTGTCTTGCCTCCAGGCTTTTTACTTTATTGTTCTGTTTTAAAACATTAGGTTATGAAAAGGTACAAACTTTTCACCTAGAAAAACTCATTTATGTTTGACACTTTGACCTTAAAACCACCTTTGGGGAACCATTTACATTGTTTGTACTTGATGAATGAAAAAAAAAATACTGCACAGACCTTTTATTTATAACTGTGTACTAGACGATCTATCAATTTCTTGCAAAATGGGGCTGTTTATTATGGCTATCAAATGATTCTCATGCTGGGAGGTGATGGAAACCAATGCCACTAGACAAGTGAATTTGAGTAGACAGTGCAGTGCATGTGTGGAATCCTTGGTGGCTCCTCATACTGCAAAGTAGTGGTTACCAACCCTGGTCCTGGAGTGTTTCCCTGCATGTTTTGGTGTTCCTATTGCTACTCACATGCCTCATCCAGCTAATCAGTTCATTAACAACCCCTTCATGACTTGAAGTGAGTGTGTTGGAAGCTGGAGAGACGATAAAATGAGCAGAGCAGGGATTAGGAACATGTGGTTTAGAGAATGAAAATAGTGTGCAAATCTTTAGATTGCATTAAGGGAGGCTACTCTGAAGAATCCATAATGGAATATAATGTAAAAGTATGTATTTCTTTAAAACTTTTTATGGACATTTCATTATGTGTGAAACAGTAAAACTAAAAAAAAATAAATAAATTCACACATCTCATAACTAAACTAAAGTTTCTTTATTTCAATCATTTAAATCTGAAATGGTGTTATGTTAGATGTTGTTAGGGGTAGAGAGGAGGTAACGTGGCTTGTGATGGATCAAGGAGGGGAAGGACATGGATAACAGAAGTTGCAATTTTCCACTTTCCACTTGCAAAAGTGTTTGATAGAAGAATAATATATTCAAAAAAGAGAACCATGACACAATAAACTATCAACTGCTTGGGTGCTAGGAATTAATAATACACAGTTTGAGCATGAAGATAAGAAATAAGATTCCACTAACTGTTGATTAAGTATGAACATTGAAGATTCAACCAAATGCAAAGGTGGACTGAGGACAGTGACAAAATAATGAAACCAAAAAACTAAAAGCTAACCTGCCTAACCAGGTCTTATCCTCAATACAGCAGGTGGCAGTTGCCTCTTACCGGATGTGTCTAAACAATGAAACAAATACCTTGCATGCAAACTTATCTGTCTACATATCACGCTAAGTACACGTAAAGTACAGTAAAGAAAATACAGAAGTGATCTGATATGAAAACATCAGAGATTTGTGTTTAAACCTTTAGTGATGACCAGATCCAGGATGTGACCTAGCTTTCAGGTAGAGCTGCACACGTGCTGCTTCAAATGAAATTTCTCTAGAAGTCTAATGAATTCTAATGCATTACTATCTGAAGGACTGTCGATATGTAAGTTAAAGTCCCCAGACAGAAGAATCTTATCATAGTTTGTGGACGCTACTGATAATAATTCCGCAATTTCTGACATAAATTTACTATTTTGCTTTGGAGGTCTGTATATTACAATTATCAACACAGGTGTATCATTAAAAAGGTTGATTGCAACACTCAATAGACATGAATTCACCAATAGAGGTACTTTTGCAGATAAAGTCACTATTATAAATGCAGGCCACTCCTCCTCCTCGTCTGCCTTGTCCTACTGTATGCATAAATCTGTACTTTTCAGGAGCAGCTTCAAGTAAAGCAATGGTTATCAGCCAATAATTTTTATTATTTACTTTATCTCAAAACAGACATTTTGTGTTATAGAAAGAATTTTAATTAATATTTATTCTCATATTAATATGAGCATTAATTAACAAATTAATTAGTAACATGTTAATACTTTTCCATGGACCCTTACTGTAAAGTGTTACCTATTTTTTTTTAATAAAAGAACTATGATGCATGGCCAAAAACTTGTGCTGTCATCCTGCATCTAAAACATAAAGCTGTCACTTAAGGCCAGACATATTCATTTATGTGACATACAGTATCATGTTAGGTGGGTTACATTAACACTTCCCATCATATCCCACTGATCTGCCCATCAATGCTTGCACTGAAATACTCAAACAGGAGAATTAAAAAAAGACAACATTCAACACAAAACAAGGTCTTCATATTTATTTTTGATGTGTTCTCAAATCCACAGAATCTCTTAACTGCATTATCTGTAATATTTCAGGTTCAGCTCTTTCAATTTTGTACAAAGCTTCATAATGAAGATGTAAATGGTAACACTTTCTATGAATGTCACCTTTGTAAGCAAATCTATAAACACATTCATAACATGTTATAATGCATTCATCAGACATCATAAACATAGCTATAAATATTTATAAAAATGCATTACACATTACAGCCATGCTTATTATGCATTATGAATTGTTAACCTAATACATTATAAGTGCTGTTCATAAAAATTATAAGAACTCATAAGTCATATTTGTCCGCTCTAAGTAAAGTGAAGCGTACTGTACTAAAGCCTCCTCCAGTGTTAAGAGTGAAGTTGAAGTATTTACTGAAGGATTTACTGAAACACTAAAACATTCACAGTAAAGCACATTACAGGCTTCAAATGTCAGAGTTTAAACTAGTGCTGCCATCAGTGTTTCACCCAATGTGGGGAAGTCAATGTACACCACCGTTAGCTTGATATTTGTCTTTAATTTGCGACTCGCCAAGCTGGGACTATTATAAGCATGGCTATAAAGTGTAATTCAGTGTAATCCTTTTTTTTAAAAATATTTATAACCATGTTTATAATGCCTTATGAATACATTATAACATTATAAATGTGTATATAAATGCTTACAAAGGTGACATTCATAGAAAGTGTTACCATGTAAATGCAGAACAAACAAAAATGCTTATAAATGTATGTATAGATTCTTTTATGTTTCTAACAATCTCAAAAAGCACAGCAAATGATGAAGCCCCTCCGCAAATAACATAAATATGTACATACTTCAGTTGTTTAATCAGATTTCACATTAACAGTGCTGAATCAGTGGTGCTAAAGGTGTACCCTTTACTTTCATCAAACAGATTCACCTGCCTTCCTTTCCTAAGCAGTGAAAACAAACAACACAATACTCAGATTCGTGATTCCACCACGTTTGGCATCCTGCCAAACAGAACAGCTCCATTCACAACGGCTAAAGCAGCATCCACAGGGCAGAGAACCTTATACTTCGACCCAAACTTCTCTTTAACAAAGCTGTTCACGTAAGGACTCAGGGCAAAGCCTCCCACCAGCAAAATATATCTGATGTTCAGGTTGCTTTTCTCCAAAATCCCTTCCATCAGGTTCTCTATGCCTATGATACAATCATCATGTAAAGCTCTCAGCTTTGTCCCTGACAGCAGAATTGACCCACTTTCCCATTCAGCTTCACTGTTTCCCTCAAAATAATCTTCTATGTCTTTTACTTTCCGGGCTAGCTCTTGTAAGTTATAAGGACACTGCACCAGCACCTCTCCATCATAACGCTTACACATGGAAAAATCATACATCAACCTCTTCAGCTCACTGGGATAGTTTTCCTCAAACTCATCAAACACCTTTTCAGACAAGATCTCTCTGAGGAATGATTTGAAGTTTTTGTCCACTGTTTGGCCACCCAAGTTATTTCCTGATACCCTGTGCAGCTCCTTTAGACGACCCCCTTCCACCACCTCATGCACTGTGATATCAATGGTTCCACCTGAAAAGAGAAAGCATAAAGAGTCAAAACTGCCAAAAAAACAAGAGAAACATTCCATAGTAGTAGCACTGACCTGTGGCACAGTGCAACATACAGAACTTTACTCTCAGAGAAACAGATTTCACAATCTTGCTTAAACAGTGAGTGGCATTTGGCTCAGTTAGATGTATCTGTGTTAGATCCATAAATATAACTCTGAGAATATAGTAACATTTAATTATATGTTACCATACAGGTTTAAATTATCCGTAACTGCAAGTTTCTAACTTTGTATCTAACAGTTTCCTTCATAAAGGAACAATGACCCACTCACATAGTTTTCTCTGGAATCATCAGGTTCCAAAAGTATCAATTATACATTCTGTAATACTCTGTCCATCATTTTCAGAACTTTAAACTACATTTTTGTTTAAGGGGTTTATTTTTCATATTTGTAACTTATCTTTGATCTACTAAATTCCAGTGAACCCAATTGTAAAATAAGTTTGAAAAGCAACATCAATAGCTCAATATCTACAGACCTCCACAGTCCACTACCATGTACTGTGTTCCTGGAACTTGTTCTATTGTCTCTTCTTCTGTAAGATCTCCTTCCATAAAACCTTCTTTTGGGAGCTGTTTACACCACACAGATGCAGCCTCTGGTTCCAGAGCTACAATCAGTTTTTCAGGCTCAAATTCGGACACCAGACCAGCCTAAACATAAACAATGTGTTTTATACAATAGTCTTCATAATCTGGGGTAATGCTGGGTACAAGAACCAAAATCACAAAACATTTAATGTAAGTCATGTTACAATAGTTTTTCTACAATGTCTATTTCTTGATAATATCATCACACCCACCTCTATAGCTGCTTCTGTCATGAACTGTTTAGCTGCAGAGCTCCAAATGGCTGGAACTGTCAAAACCCATGTAGCATCAGAGGCAGAGTACGTTACTTCAGATGTGTGCTTTCCAATCATATCCAGGGCGTGATCTTTCATGAATTTCAGGCTCTCAGAGAACACTTTCATAGCTCTCATTTTTTTCCCATTTTTGGCAGTCATCATTGAGTCTCTGTGCAACACCTGAGAAATTAATAAACACCAAAATCATCAGCTGCTGAGCTCATGTACAACAAGCATTTTTGGAGCTACAGTCATACCTTGCCGTAGAGCTCCATTTTGAAGTCGTCAAAGAGGTAAAGCTTCTTTGCTTCGTTTCTCCGTGTCTGTCTGGTGTACGTCATTATGGCATCATAGCCAAACTTCAGAAAATTTCCATCCTCATCAAACAAAATGCAGGTAGGAGTTTTTGGGGTGTTCATTCCATACTCTTCACCCCATTTAGGTTGCCGAATCTGTTTTGCTCCTTTAAACGAGAAGCTGTATCCAGTGAACGCTGTGCCAAAATCTATACCGATAGAAACAAGTGATTCTGGAAACAGCACAGGAACACAATTCATAAGAGACAGAACAATGAACCAGATCAAAGAAACATATTTCATAAATACAGTGTTCGCTTTCAATTTGTCAGTCCAGCATGTGACAAAAACAGGCACGAAAAGAACCAGAAACCTCATAGTTTAATCGACTTACCTTTATGTTGGGTCCAAGGACTAAATACCTTTGCTGGTGAAGTGCACTGTTTTAGTGGTTTCTAGAAAAAAAGAAAAGTGAAAGAAAAAAGGTGTCAAGTGTAATATTTTGGATTACCTAAACCCTTTTCTGAACTCTCCTAAACCCTACTAGAGTTGGGCATCTGGGCAAAAAGGACCTTGGTTAGGGAGGTAAGAAAGGACCCAGTGGTCACTCTACAAGAGTTCCAGATGTCCTGCGCAGAGATAGAAGAACTTCTTTGCAGCAAAAGATTCTCTGGTCTGATGAGACAAATATTTAAATTAAACTTTTTAACTTTTGGCAAAATGTCTAGCAAAAAAACAGGCACTGCACATCACCTGGCTAATACCATTCCTATGGTGAAACATGGTGGTGGCAGCATCATGTTATGGAGATGCTTCTCAGTAGCAGGAACAAAGAGACTGGTAAAACTTGAGGGACACCTGAATACAGCCGAATACAGGAATATCCTTGAAGAAAACCTCCAGAGTGCATGCAAACTCAGATTGTGTTGACAGTTTACCTTTCAACACAACAGTGCCATGAAGCATACAGCCAAAACAAGAGCTGCTTCAGTTCAAGTCTCTGAATGTCCCTGTGTAGCCTAGCCAAAACCTATATTATCCCTTGTGTGGTGTCCGTGGCTCTGCTGGCCCCAAAGCATTATTGTTTTTTTTACAATATAGCCATAACTATTTATGCAAAACTACCGGATAATTAAAATATCGCAAGTGGCCAGTGTAGGGTTCTCCGTTAGCAGCTGTAGCCAGTCAGCAGCCTGTCCATGTTATCCAGCCTTACACACACACATATAAAAAAACACAAACACAGGGGTCTAAATACTTTCTGAATCCAGTGCATATCCCTTAGATTAATATTAGGTATGATTTATTTAGGTATATATTTGTTATTGTTTCACATTTGTATTGTTTGTTTGTTATTATACTCTGTGTGCCATGATCCTTTTCATTTTTCTAAATGTGTTAATTACTCCTGTCTTTTTACTAATTGCTTTGTAATTCATCTTTGTGAATGTTGTGTGTGTGTATCTCTTATCACAGTTCTAACAATTCTAATGAGTAAGAAAAGCGCTGCACTAAATGTTAATGATCAAATTTCCTTCAGACAATGAGAAACTTTTTATTGTTTTAATTGTTATTTACTGTCTCCTAATATTGACCTTAGGAGTGTAGCTCAGTTTAAGACTTTTTTCTTATGTTTGTAGTTATTTGCTTGTTAGAATTATAATTACAATTAATAATTAATAATTTCTAATACATTCATTATTACTGATAATTTGCCCACAACTCTGACAACAGTGAGGATCATTGAGGATTTGTCAGTATAAAATGAAATTTGCTGAACATAGAATACAATGTGATGTCCCACAATATGATCTTGTGCTTCACATTAATGCTGATGATATTTGTATCAGCTCACACAGATTCAGTCAAAGTTACACAAAATGAAAGTCCTAAATTTGTTCAAAATAAAGTTCCAGTATCTTTGACCTTTTTTATGTGCAGCCAAAAGCTACAGTGAAAAGTAACAGTGGATGCCAATCTCAAATCAGTTATATCCCTAAGGCATTTATTACTACCGAAACATTAAAAATAATACACATACTGTTCTTACAAAATGCTGTTAAATGAATTCATGCATTCACATCTGCTCGTTTAGACTGGAATGTGTTCCTGGCTGGTTGCTCTGCTGTCCCTCTAAATCACCTCAGACTAGTTCAGAAGGTAGTGGCTCAGCAGGAGAAGAAAGTGTGAGCATAATAGTGCACTCTTATTCAGTTGATACTTTTATCCTTTTAAGTTTCACCTCAATTATAAGGTCTTGTTCATGACATTTAATGCTCCCAATATTTCAGCTCACAGGCAGATCTCACTGATCTGTTGAAGCATTATAGATATCCAGACCACTTCACTCTGCTGAGGCTGCTCACTGAAAATTTCTAACATCTCTATCAGGACAGTTGATGGAATTGGATTTTAAACTTAAGAAAATCATTCCAGAGAGTATTAATAATTTAAACTTGGTAGATGTTTTAAATCCAGATTAAAGACATATTTGTTTAGGTAAGCATATAGCACATAGCACATATGCATAAAGTCCAAGACAAGACGTGGTGGTGAAGTTACACTGAAAACAGCTGCTATAGACACTCTGCATTTAACTGTTGGATTGTAAACATGCAAGGTCGCTTTGGCAACCAGAAAAGCATTTTATCTGTAAAACTGGGCTAGTTTGCAAGTGCAAAACTGCAACCATCAAAAATGGATTGATAGTGTGATTGTAGACAGTGGAAAATGAAAATGAATTGTCTAATGAATGTTAATTGAACTGTTGAATAGCTGGCAACCCAAGGACACAGCCTTGCGCAGAAATGGCAGAAGAGTGAGGAATGTGTAACTTAAATTAGCACAACATAATTCCATAATTGTGTAAAAATGAAAATGAAAAAAAATATTAATAATTTACATACATTTATCCTACTACATTTAAAAGCCCCCAAATTTTTAACCAAAATCAAACTTATTTTCTCCTGTGTTTATTGTGCTGTTATTTTCATTTAAAGTGCAGTCTTCTTTATCAATTAACTAATTTTAACTAAAATGAAAAGTGATATTTAAATATTGGTTTGTCATTAATATTATTACTATAAAATGTTAACTAAAAGACAGACAATCTCACCTTGTTAAAAGCATCCCTCTCTTTGGTGCTGGGTAATTCATTTTGTCTGTCCTGAAGGCCTGACCTATCAAAATTAATTATTAATTATGGATGTAATAACAAATATTGCCATAATATTGTCAAAAATATTTCACAATTTTAACGATCAAGCAATAACTACCTTGATATCGAATCAACACTGTAATCCTCCAGTAAAGTTGTGATGTCCTCAAAATGTAGATTGTTAATGAAAAATAAATTTTCTAAGTTTATTTTCTATATTATTGTGAATTTTGGTGGTAAAAAATGCCTGCACTTGCTGTGTTCCTTAAGAGGATGACAAAATAAAACAGTACATAACCCTCACATTACACTGGACATTCACCTGGAAGCCTAAAACCACCCTGTTTATGCTCCAATCTACATTGAGATAATGCAGCATTATTTCAATTTATGGGGACAGTTGTGGGCTGGAGGTTAGGGAACCAGCGTTGAAAGGTTGCCAGTTCAATCCACTGAGCCAACAGTACATGACTGAAGTCATCTCTTTATAAAGCACTTAAATGAGCACTGAATTAAGTATTCATTTTCATTTGTTCCTTCTTCTCTGGGTATCAACAGTGACTTTTTGTTTCTAGCAGTATCTGAGCTGGACTGAGAGCTTTCTCTCTAACCTATTGGAAACTAGCAAAGAAAAAATGAGAATTTCCTAACAGGTATAACCAATGTGATCAAATATCTGTTTCAGTTCCAATGATCAATCAGTAATTATATCAATGTAAAATGCACAGTGTAATACTCATTCAAATACTCTAAACTGACCATATCGTGACTATGTTGTCTTCTGATTCCACCCTGATCTAATTCTACTCTGATTTGATCCTAATTCCAGCATTATCTGATCCTGACTTTGCTGTGGTCTGGTCCTGACTTTGCCCACGTCTGATTCTGATTCTGCCCTGATGTGATTCTAGATCTGCCCTAGTGTGATTATGATTCTAACTTTGCCCTGATCTCATTCTTATCTTGCTCTGGTCTGATGATGACCCCACACTGATCTGATACAGATTTTGTCCTAATGTGTTATTGATTCTACCGTCATTTGATCCTGATTCAGATTCCTCCCTGTTCTGATTCCGACTCTGCCCTGATTAGTCTACAGATTGGAACACATCATGAAAAGAAAAAAACAAAAAGTCATGGTTAGAAGTATACCTCTCTCTGGGGCTAGGTAATTCATTCTGGCTTTCCTGAGGTGGTGACCTATCAAAGTAAAATAAATAATTATGAATTCCATAACAAATATAGCTAAGACATGGCCAACAGTTAAAAACTAACAATTTTAATGATCTATCAATAATTATTTTGATATAATATGAATATGTAATGATCAGTCAAATACTCAGGCCTGATCTGATCCTAACCTTACCATTACCTGATCCATATTCTGCACCTAATTTGATCCTGATTCTGCCATGAACTAATCCTGATTTGGCCCTGGTCTGATTCTGACTTCAACCTGATCTAATTCTTATTCTGATCTGTTCCGATGCTGAGTCTCTGCCTTAGTCTAATGCTGATTCTGCCCTGATCTGATCCTGACTTCACCCAGATGTGATTCTTCTTCTGCTCTGGTCTGATGCTGACTCCATCCTGGTCTTATGCTGACTTCACTCTGATATGATACTGACTCTACCCTGATCTAATCCTGATTCTGCCTTAGACTGATTCTGACTCTGCCTTAGTCTAATGCTCATTCTGGCCTGATCTGATCCTGATTGTGTCTTGATCTGATCCTGACTTTGTCCTGATTTTATCCAGATTTTGTCCTGATTTTATCCAGATTCTGTCCTTGATTATTCCTGACTCCTCCCAGTGTTCCTGTAATCGTGGATTTATATCGTCGCTGTCCTAAGAAAAAACGTATCTCCATTTTTGTCGATCTTTAGTTTTCTACATATTTTCACCACACTAGCTGTTCTTCACATGATGAATGGACAATTGGAAATGCTCTAAAATCACTTAGAATAAAATATTTTTTCATCAACTTACATTAAAAGTTAAGAATGTTTTTAGAGATACTTGTTTTTCTTTAGACAGTGACCGATATATATCTGGCTATTAGTCTACATATTTTAACATATAACGAAAAGAAAAAAACAAAAAGTCAAGGTTAAAAGCATACCTCACTTTGGGGCTGGGCAATTCATTTAGGCTGTCCTGAGGTTGTGACCTATCAAAATTAAATAATTAACTATGGATTTCTTAACAGATATAGCTGATTTGGTAAAACAAAAAAATCATTTAATTGATCAATCAATAATTATATTGATGTTATATCTATGTTGTAATGCTCAGACTTTAAATAGTGTTTTAAATCCTGAAGTAAATAAAATACATTCTGGCCATATTCACAGTATTATTAATCAAATTTGAATATAAGCCAATCAACTTAAATAAAATCTACATTTCAAGAACATCACAACACTACTTGGGCATTACACATTCTTCATGGGATTCCCTGGACCAAATATTTTGGGTTTAGGTCAATCTGCATCATGAGGGAAGATACAAAACATCTAACTCTTTAATGTTTATGTTTTAGTACTAAAAATGGCTGCACCTGCCTTGTAACACCATCTACACCAATCTTCACATTGCACTGGAATTTCACCCAAAGCCTAAAACCATACTTTTCAATACCTGTCTACTCACTGCACAAATCTAGATGATCCTATCTTCGTTTCAGAGAGTGCAATACCAGTAATCTTATCTATCCCCCACGCTTTTCACAATCCAGACCAGGGTGGCAGAGGGGCTCTGGAATTGCATCTTTCATCTCAGCCTTAGCATCCCTTCATTCACTAGACTAACTGGCTTTGAAAGAAACTTGGAGAACTCAGTGACTTCAGCGGCCCTGTCTTCTGCCTTTAAATTCTCCCATTGATGGAACCCTGCTCATTCTCCTTAACCTTCCATCATACAAGCCAGACAAACTGCATGCTGCTTCTTACCACTGCTACCATCCTTTCACACACCCCTTGACCAGTCTCCTCCACTGCACAGAGCAGTGTTCTAGACCCATTCGTCAGCAAACCTACCCAGTACTGGATATCACAGTAACCATTCTTCACTAAACATCTACTATTTTTCTCACTTGCCCTCCCTGCTTTTCCTGTTCATTTCCACCGTTCATGTTCTTCCTTCACTCAGCTCTCATTTCAGCTATCCTAACTACCCTTCCCCACCCTGACTCATTTTCTTCTCTCTAACAGGATCTGGATACAGCTATAGATACTGGCTGTGTCCTGTGCAGCAACTGGAGAGAGCTAAGGAAGGCTGAGAGAAGGTGGAGGAAATCCCATCTTTCACTTGAAGTAACTGTCAGCATATGAGCTATGCAAGCTCTTCAGCATTTTGTCCTCTCTCCTCAACCCTCCTTCTAGCCCACCACCCTTTTCTCTTACATCTGAGGATTTTATCACCTTCTTTTAGATGAAGATATAATCCACCAGTCTTTTTCCTTTGTCTCCACTTCCTCCACTAGTCCTCGTTCTCTTGTGCTTAATTCCCTAAATTGTTTTTCTTGTCTTCCCACAGATGATGTCCTTCGCCTACTTAAATCCAGCAATCCAACCACCTGCCTTATGGTTCCCGTCCCATTCTTGCTGCTCCAGTCAATGTCCTAGGACCTACTGCTCTTCATCATAAAGAGCTCCTTGTCATCAGGTCACATTCCATCAGCAATCAAGACTGCCAGGGTGGTTCTCTTCCTAAAGAAGCCCATGCTTAACAGTTCTGATGTCAGCAGCTATTGACACCTTTCTTTCTTTTTAAAAATTCCTGAATGTGCAATCTACAGTCAATTGCCTCTTTCACACTCAGAACCAGCTCTGGGACGCCAACCAGTCTAGCTTCAAACCAGTGCATTCAACAGAACCTGCATCATATGAGTAACTGTCATCAGTTATGATTCTTCTTGATCTCTCAGCAGTCCTCAATACATTCAACCACATGATCCTTCTGTCTGTCCCAACCAACCATGGAATCACTGGCTTCATGTGGTCTGAGTCTGAGGAATGCTTTTATCATGTAACATACACCATGCTGACTCTCCACTGACATCCAACAAGACTCAGTGCTGGATCCTTTTCTCTTCTCACTTTACACTCTTTCTCTCATGCTCACTATTGTCTCATAGCTTATTTTACCACTGCTATGCTGCTGACACCCCACTAATGTTTTCCTCCCCACCTTCTAATACTCAGCTTTCCAGTCACATCTTGTCTGACTGACATCTCTTCATGGATGTCCTGTAAAGCATCCAGAAGATTTAACCCTTCTTTCTCAGGTGGCAACCAAGATGCTATTTATGTCTCTCATCATCATCTCAAAGGTTGACTACTGCAACTCAGTCTTGGCTGGTCTTCCTTTGTGGGACATCAAGCCCTTGCAACTTATCCAGAACATAGCAGCATGGCTCGTCTTCAATCTTCCGAACTTCAATCTTCCCCACTGCTGCTCTCCCTGCACTGGCTTCCTGTAGCTGCCTATATCTGATTTAAATCCCTGATGCCTACAAAGTCAAAAATCCAGATCCACCTATCTTATGGCAATGATTAAAGCTCAACCTGTACTTTGAGCACTTCTAGCTTCAACTACAGCTCGATTTGACCCAGCATCCTTCAAGACACATGGACGACAAGCATCAAGACTCTTCTCTGTCCTGGCACCCAGGAGGTAGAACAAACTTCCACTGGCTGCCCAAACAGCAGACTCTTTCATGGTCTTCAAATGCAGACTGAAGACACATCTCTTTGTACAACACTTAAGTCCACAGTAATCTACATGGTGATTAAAATGTATTGCTATAATTGTAAATGTTCTGTTTATACTCCATGCATTATATTACTAACGGATATATCTGTTGTTGGTAGTGAAACAAGTGCTGAAATGTCAACAGGAAAGTGAGAGGCTAATGATGTAATGATGAAGCCTGAATCTATCAAAATTAATAATTAATTAAGGATTCCATAACATATATAGCTGACATGGTCAATTTTAGTGGTCAATCAACTATATATATATTGCCCAAATAATCCAGACTGATCTGATAATGACTCTACCCTTGCCTGATCCTGACTTCACCCCAATCTGATCCTGACTCTGCATTGATCTGACTCTGCCCCGATCTGTCCTGATTCTCCATGTGCTCCTGGAATCTTGGAGAAAACATCTTATGTTTCATTTATCTTATGTTTCATTCTTCCTATGTTGTCTGTATTATTATCATTTTTTTTTACTTTGTGGCACATTTTTATTATTTTGATTGATTGATCTGTATTTTGTCTGCTTACGTTTTAATACCTGTCAATTACAGTCAATTCAGAATTTTTTAAATGATCTTAAAAGGCTTAACTTAAAACAGTTAAAATGTATATTCCTCTCCATCAGTCCACACACTGCAACATGTAACACTAAGCAAAAACAACACGTCAAGGTTAAAAGCATACCTCTCTTCGGGGCTGGGCAGTTCGTTTTGAATGTCCTGAAGTTGTGACCTATCAAAATCATAAGAGCTCATATACTGAACATCTTTAAACAATTTCAGTGACAATCAGTAATCAAGTTGATATTATATCCACTTTGCACTGCTCAGTCTTGTGTATGAACAGGATTTCAAACCCTTATTAAAATAAAATACATATTCTGGCCTGATACACAGCATTGCTCATTACATTTGAATATAAACAGAGCAAGTAGAAATAAGACATTTTGAGGACACGATAACTTTAATTGGGCATTGCATAATATTTTTGAAATTCCTTAAACCAAAATCAATCCTGATCCATCCTTAATCCTGATCTGATCCTGACTCCACCCTGTTCTGGCCTTAACTCCACCCTTGCAATGTCCTCACTCAGTACTATTTTTTTTAACTTGTTTTTGTTTGTAAACTTTCCTGTTTCCTATGTAAGCACAAACTATGTTCCAATGGGCCAATAGAGTTCTAAAATACAGGCAGATGAAATTCTCAATGAAACAGAGAAGCTAAAGACACTTTCAAACAATGCTTCAACCCAGAGCAGAAGCACTGTAGCCTGTTAACCACACAAGGATGGGGCTTAAAAACTTCATGAAGACTGCAGTGATGTACCAGAGCCACAACATCCACAGCTCAAGAACACAACAACCATAACATGACTCACTACACAGGGACAAGACTGAGGACAAGGGCCAAAGCAACGCTCTTCTGCCTCTAGGAATGCCAGAGATGTTCCCTCTCTGAACTTCCATTCTCTGCTGAGTCAGTTATTGAGCTTCTCAGAGAAGATGGGGGAGTTGGTGTGTGTGGAACTTTTTGTTAATTCAGGTTATAACAGATGATAATGATGAAGGGATTTTGTTATGATTGTTATGATAACTGTAAAATAAAGAAAGTCCTAATGGATGAAGTTTAATGTAATGCAATTAAACATAACTTACCCTAATTTGCTGTTTTCAGATTTGAGGGTTTTGTTCTCTTGCCTGAGAATGTTATAAAAAAAATAAATTTCTTAAGAAATGTCATCATTAAATGCTGTCAGTCCAACTACTGGCAACTATATTTTCTCCAGAATATCCTGATTTCAGTTTACATAGTAATTACACATAATAACACAGTTATGACATTTTCTTACCTTAGATCTTCAAGTTCTTTATTGCATTTCTCATTCTCCAATCTAATTACAAAATTTACAAAACAAAAAGAAAACCATTATAATTTCTCCTAGAACTTGTAGGACCAGATTATTGTCAGAATTATCTGTGCTTTAAGATGGTAGATGGCTGCTGTTTCTTATTAACTTTCTCAGTAAATGAAAGAACAATGCAAACTGTAAATACATCACAGACTGAAAATTAGTCTTCAAAAGTAATCAGTAAATCCTTTTAAGAAAGTGGCACTAATGAGGAGTGAGTCAGGTAATTATAAGTCCAGATACAGCAGAAAACACATTCACTGTGAGGAGTGTAACTCAGCTTTACAGAGTGATCAGACAGATTAACTGCTGTGTAGTTTAAGATTAGAAAGTGATGACTGGTTGGTGTAGTGTAGTGGGTAACACCTCTGCCTTTTACGCTGTAGACTGGTGTTCAGTCCCTGTCTGGGTAAACACCCTACACTATACCAATAAGAGTCCTTGGGCAAGACTCCCAACACTACCTTCGCCTACCTGTGTAAAATGATCCAATTGTAAGTTGCTCTGGATAAGTGCATCTGCCAAATGCCGTAAATGTAAATGACATGATGTTCTGAATTTCTCTGATTTCCATCATCAGTTCTCATTAAAAATACTAAAACTTCTATTACAACTTTTGTTGAATTTCTTGTTTGTGAAACTGAGATTTAGAATTAGTTTTTAGTTTTTTTCCTTTGTGATTTATGACTTTACATATTTACATTTTCAATAATTTATTAAAAAGAATATACAACAGGATCAGTTATTACAGAAATAAACACTAGTTCAGATTATAGATCTCACATAGATTACAGTAATATTATTTTATTTTATTGAATAAACACAGAAAACTATATGCTGTCTGAATACAGTTTTAAATTAAATTCTGCAATTTATAATCAACAGAAAAATATTTAAATGTATTGTCATGTAAAACCTTCAGTAAGAAACGCTCATATAAACTGAAAGTTAGTAGCATTTTCCATCTTTCAGCATTAGTAATGTTATCTTCTCTGTGGCTGGAATGTTACAACAAACATTACATCTTTACACGATTCAAACCCAAAGCAGTTAATCTGTATAAAACAGAACTGAAGGAGAGATTGTCTGTGAACTGATGAGGTTTCTTGGATTAATTTCTGATTAAGTGACCCTTATTAGTCCCACAACAGGGACATTTCACCTCGGCAATCTAAGACATCCATGTGTGAAACACCACATACACTCTAGTGAACACAGACACTAGGGGCAGTGAGTACACTTGCCCGGAGCGGTGGGCAGCACTATCCACAGTGCCTGGGGAGCAGTTGGGGGTTAGGTTTCTTGCTCAAGGACACTTCAGTCACGTACTGTCAGCTCAGGGGATCAAACTGGCGACCTTCTGGTCACAAGGCTGGTTCCCATATTAAACATCTTCAAGAGTAGATTGTTATCCTCACATACTGAGTGTGTCTTTATAAATATATGTCTTTACACTGAGGTTCAGCTTCTGTTTATAGTAATATAGGGTTTCATTGAAAGCATTAAACAATTATTTATTATTTATTAATTAATGATAATTAATCACTTCATTATAATTTTAATTTGGATTAAAACACAAATTAGATTTTTTTTTTGTGGCTTCTTACCTCAATGTCCTGATTTGTGATTTGAGATTTCCATTTTCTTGTCTGCAGAGAAAATTTATTTTATTGAACTAGTTATAGTGTTAAAATTCAAGCACACCTGTTTGAAACAGGACTTCCATGATTTCTGTGATAACTTAATGTTTTGAATGCATTATGTAAACATATACAGTCAATCTAGACAAATCACAATGTGCACTTTAGCATGAACATCTCTCAGACTATAATAACAGCATCAATCTTGTACAACCTCACTGTGGGCCAACGTCAGACCTCTAATGAATTAGTCTCTGAAGTTGTACCAGGCTGACCAACCTCAGTCTAGATCACCCTCAAATTTGACAAACCTCAAATTTGACAAACTAACCTCAGTCTGGACTAACTTTAAATTTAACTAAGCATCTGAGAAAATCTCAAAAGCTCAAACTCATCCAGCCTCACGCTAAACTAGAAGCTTATTAATTAGCCAATTAATTGGATGGAATGTGTAAGAGTTAATACACACTGAAATATGAAGGGAGCTCTCACTAATCTGTATCAACTTCAAAAGAACCGTTCTCAACCCTGATTAACCTCATCTTGATAAATCTCAATCTCAAGCAGCTTCAGTTTGGTCTGACCATAAAACATTAATCTGGACCAATCATCTCTCAAGAAAATGACTAAATTGTGCTGTAATGACAGTAACCCCAAGGGTTTATTACACACTCTATAATCTGAGAATAGTTCAGCCAGTTTGCATTGAATAATAAGACTTTGTATTTAATAAGCCTGATATTTTAAGGAGTGAACAGGTATACAGTTGCTCAATCCTTATTTGGACCAAGGTTCATCTACAGCTCAACTAAACCAACCTTAATCCAGAGCAGGAGTGGTGAACTCCAGCCCTGAATGCCAGTGTTCAGCGCAGTTTTGTAATTTTCATGCTGTTACACATGATCAGGGAAATTATTAACTCATACTCATCTTCACCAACTTCAGCTGGTCTAATAAACCCTTAGAGATCAATCTGGACCAACATACACTGATCAAACTTCAATCAGCCAATTTATATCTGAACTAGCACCAATTTGCACTAAGCTAAATCTGCACTGATCTCAATTTGGACAAACTTTGATGGGAACAATTTAGACCAACATCTGCTAGAACATCCTCTGTCTAGATCAACCTTAATGTTGACCAGCATTAATTAAGTGAATTAACCTAAATCTGGACTGACATAAATAAAGGCCAACCTCAATCAGGACTAGAATCAGTCTAAACCAACCTAAACAATGAATTTGGACTGACCTCAATCTAAACCAACTCTGGACCACTATCAGTCTGGACCAACCCCAATCTGAACGAGCAACATAGTTCCAGTTTGATCTTCCTTGCAAATATGTCCTACTTGTTAAGCTAATTGCACCATCTAGTGTGGCCCGGAGGAGGATGGGTTTTGAGTCTGAGTGTTTCTTTCTCATGATCTTCGAAAGTTTTTGTGCCACAGATTTCTTTGACTTCCTCATTAAGGAGCTGCACTAATATTGTACTAAATCTTTGAGAAAATGGCTGCTGTAGAGAATGATTTACAAATAAAACTGAGCTGAAAAATGAAAACACACTGAGAAAAGAAAGGATGAAGTTTTATATTTATTACTTTGTTATAGTTCTGTCTTCATACTTGATAAAATTCAATGTAAATTTAGTCAGATTGCATAGTTCGACTACAACACACACACACACACACACACACTCACACACACACAGACACATACACACACACATAATATAGTTATGAATATGTTATTACCTCAGAATTGCAAGTTTTTGTTCATGCTGAGCCATTCTGTGTCTAAAAGAAAGAAAATGTATCAGGACAGAAAAATATTTAGTATACAATGTTTTACAGAAATACAGCTTAATTGTCTACCAAATTAAGTCTTCATAGAGGGATGTTCTAAAACAAATACAGAGATGGACTCACAACCCAAATTATTCAGTGACACTTCAGTTTAACTCTTAACTATGCAAAGAGCTCTGTTTATAAATATCTACAATTCTCCATTTTCAAGTTGATTATATTGACTGATTTAGTTTGTCCATAAAGAATCCAGAGTGCTTCTTGTTGTTGACTTTAGATATGGAAATAAAATAAGATAATTGGCCAATAGATATTTAAAGTATTCACCATGTCCCAAGAGTCACCCACATTAAAATGCATAAAAAATTAGAAGCAAAATATATTTTATAAATAAAAATAAGTAAACAATAATTTTAAAATGCTCCAGCAAAATCAATAAGGAAATGACATAAATAACAATACTGTGTCAAACATTTTTATAATGTGCATTATTAATGAACGTAATTCAAACTTAATTCACTTTTCTTAACATTTCATCATTATGTGCATTTAAAGAATAACTGCAGGAACATATTTGTTTTCCAATACTGTATACACCAAACAGCATGTTGTCAGCTACATATTGTTTATTATTCGTATAATTACACCTTTTTATACATTTTATTAAATATCATTGTAATAATTTGAATACCTTGTTTTGAACACTTCATTTTATTTTAACACCAGTGGAAAGTCTTATTATTCACACATTGATGCCACATTTTAGTTTACTGTTAGTGTGGAAGTGCTGTTGTGACTTTGTTATAGTTTTTCATGGTTTTGTATAAAAACCTAATGAATATTTTACAGCAGTAAATCTTAAAGCCTTACCTGAGGAGAGTATCAAGCTGTAAAGGCAAGAACTGGAAAGTTTAGTAAAGGAATGAAGACACTACTCGTCCTTTTGTACCCAAGAAACGCCCAGTTTTTCTGTGGGCTGGACTGAGAGAAGTGAAAGTAAAATCTGTTCTTATTAGTGAGCTTGTTTTTCTCCTCTTTACTGATCACTCTGAATCCTAACAGGAGCAGTTCTTTGCTGTTGGGCTTGATAGTGTCCATTGTTTATAATAACAGAGTTCTAATAGTTTATAATAAGAGAGTAGGGAGGAATTCATTTTACATTAGCCTCTCAAGACTATCAATACCCAAGATACAGTTTCACATACAGAAAACACAAACAGTGTCAACAGACAGAAAGTTAAAGACTTCAGCTATAGACATGGATATTTTGCTGTACTGTGCAAACTATTCTTTTGTTGCTTTAATAGATTAATATTAGATAGATTACTACTATTTTGTCCACAGGTTTCTGTCATTTAGGATTTCAAGCTAATCTGCATTACATGCAAAACTTTCTTTTTTCTCTGAATGTCTTATAACACTTACAAATTTGATTAAAGTTTTATTCAGCAGTCAATATATATGATAAAATAATTAATTATAATCAAAATTGATGATAAAATATTTGTGTGGATGTTTTTAGACAATAAGATAAAAATAAAAATAAGCAATAAGGACTGTAATGTGATTGTAGTTTTTGCTGTACTTACTTTAATAGGGAGCACTATAACATTTAAAAAAAGCTTGGCAAGTGTAATGTGCCCATAAATGGACTAAAGGGATACTCACCATTTCAAAAAGCAGTGTTTTCCAATGGACAATTAACTTTCAGAAGGTTGAACATTTGGCATGAACTCACTTGTTCATTGCCTCATGATGAAATCTGCAGAGATGGCACATTGTGTTGCTGTACACTTGTATATCTACATCCATCTTTTGTTGTAATCACTTGTAATAGCACTGTCTGTAAGTTGAAATATTACTACTGTAATCAACTCCGTGTTTTGTCCAAATTTTTGTTACATTTGTTAAAATTACCAAGACGTCTGAGCAGTTTACATGCACTTTAGCTTTGTTATATTTTCATTTCACTTCCATGTGGAAGGCAAATCTGCAGCCATATTGTAGCTGGATTATTGATTGTTTTCTGATGATCTGCAGACACAATTCTCAGAAATGAAGGAAAGATCAAAGTGCATTTCCAACTCTAGATGTTCTTCCTTAAACCTGCCTGGAACCTAAAGTTGGAGTAAATCGTGCAGAAATGACCTTTTCTCTACAAACCTACGCTGAAATCTTTCTCTCGTGATCAGAGATCATTCTGTGTGATTGAACCTGTGTGATGTAGAAAGATGTAAAACAGAAAGGAATGTGGAAAAACAAGAATGTTGTCTAAAGTGCATGCTGGCTGTTATGAAGCCTTTCTGATAGAAAATGAGCTTTTTTATGGGAAGATTATAAAAAAAACAACTTTTGTATAAGTTTAATTAGACAACACTCTCATTTACACATTAGGTTCGGTTTACAGTTATCTTTTTAAAAATACTTTGAAGTTATCAAACATTTGCAAACAAATTTTTAGAACATTCTTTGAAATTAATGTTTCATTTCAAGACATAGAGCTTGAAACAATTAACTGCCAATGGAATAAGACTTTTTGTAAGATCAAATTACCATAAACAAGTAAAACAACCGAGAAATAATTAAATAAATGTATTATTACAACAATCTGATAATGAGAAATATTATATATTTTGACTAGATTTGAGATGTTTTCACTCGCTAGACATAATGACATAAAGTGTAAAGCAATTTAAATATTTAATCATGTCCTGTTTTCTACAAATGCACACAAAAGAAACCCTTATAGACAGACTGCACATATCAACTGAAAAATCTCAAAGATTGTTCTGATAGAGAACATGTGATACTGAAAAACATACAGCAGAAAGGAATGTAGAAAGACATGACTGTTGTCTGAATGCTTGGCTGTTGTGAAGATGTGTCTATTTATTAAGAAACAGTCACAAGCCATTCATTAACCCCTCACAGGCTGACAGGCCCAAAGTTTTATTGCACACTTCTATAACTGAGAATAGCTCAGCCAGTTTGCACTGAAGTCCCTGAATTTACTGAATAATAAGCGTTAGTATGTAATAAGACTGGAATTTTAACGGGTTAAATAAAACATGGTACCTCACAGGTAAAATACATTTTTATATTGTTGAGATAAAGACAGAATTGAGCGAAATTTCAAAAGATTCCATTTTTGGATTAAAATAGTAACAAAATCTCCTTTTTTTCCATATTCTGTTACATTAAACACCCCTGCCTGTAAAAATCCCACAATTCTACAAAAGCAAAATATCACCTTAGTGAAGTGGCTTTAAATCATTCTAAAAAATTCTTACACATTTTAGATCTACAAATCAGGTACATTTAGAGAATCAGGAATCATCCTCATAAAAAAACTCAATATTCAATATGCATCAATATTCTGTATAAATTTTTGAAATATAAAATTATTTTATTAAATGTATCTGAAGCTTAAGTAATAAAATAGGCAGAAAAGGCATTTTTCATGTAAGCATGCACAAAGAAAATGTGTCAGTTGTAAGTTATCTTCAGATTGTTCTGATATGTTTGAAAGAATGTGAATGATACAAAAAAAAACACAAAAGAGAAAAGAATGCAGACAGATGAGTGCAGCTTAACTGTTATGAAAGCTGTAACTGTATTTACTATGAAACAGTTTCATTATCAAAGAAAGACAGGAAAGTAAAGCAAACTGGCCAGATAAATATTTTGGTTTTATTATCACTGAAATAAGAAAGCACAATTATTCTATATTATGATTATCTATCCACTAAAACCATAAAGGTTTGTATCTAGTAGAGCTAAATCCTGTTTTAGTGAAGCTGGTAAAGATAAAGTTAAAACATGTTAATCTGGAATAAAATTTAGTTCTGACAATAAACAAACATGGCCTGATGATGTTTTATGCCTGAATCCACGCTGACTTTGAGCACAGACAGACTGACCCCAACAACTCTGTCTGAAACTGATTGTAGCCAGATAAGCCAACATGCACCAAAGAAAACCTGAGTCTTACAGTATGTGTCTGCTGAATGTTGTCTCATGATCAGAGATTGTCCTGATATGTGTTCTGTCACACATATCAGCTTTCACAACAGGTGAGCTGCATCTGCAAGATGCAGACAGAAGCAAAAAAGAAAGCAGTGTAGACAGATAAGTGCAGCTGTTGTGAAACCTGTGACTGTATGTATTATGAAACTTAGTTTCATTGATACAGAAAAACAGTAAAGTTGTCCATGTATTCATAGATTCCACAGGATATACAACACAGATTTTTTAAGGTCGATGAAGTGTGCAGAGTGGTCTTGTACATCTTTTATATAAGACAGTAAAAAAATTGAAATGTACTACAATCATCTCAAAATGTAGCCCCGAGCAGCAAATCGTTTCAAATATTTTATCACATTGAATTGAATTCACATAATTTCTGACAAAATTCTGTCATGAACTGATTGTTGTGAGACAAGTTTTTGTCAACCCATCATAAGCATCCACACCACAGCACTCAACTGAGGCAGCTTCATAGGAGCTCTTGCAGCTCAGTTGGTGGACAATAATTTTATTATAAAAAAAAAAGCTGGTTTTAAACTCATGTTTGATTAGGCTACTGTACAGGGCTCATTTTCTCCTATTGTTCATCAGCATTTTAAATACTTTCAGACATTAATAATTACCATTGATCAACAAATATAGTTCAAACAATGACTTGGCTTCTAGTCATATTCTGCATGGCATCAACATGTATGATACTGGTTATATGTTTGGTGTTTGACTGAAATTATGTACATTTCTATTTCCACATGTGCTTCAATGAACTCCTAGTAGACTAAAACTGGAATATATTGTCATACTGAAGTTACCTGTTCTATAGGTGCATGTAGCAGTCAACCAAATCTGACCTCATTATCTAAGATTTTTCTGATATTTTAATGGAATGTGTGTAAAAGGGAAAGGAATGAAGAAAGGCTTGAATGTCTAAAATGTGGCATGGTTCTTGTGAAACCTCTGGGTATGAAGACATGATAAAGTTTTTCATGTTTTCATTGATTATTTCAGTAAAGTAAAATAGATTTTGAAAATAGCGAAAGTCTTAAAAATCTTCAAACTAAATAAATATTTTAAATATTTCACTGGAAATGTGTATGAGTTACAAAGTATCTTTCTGGAGAGGTAAGAATTGCCTAGAAGAGTAAAATATTATTTTAGCAAAACTAGTGAACATCATCTTAAACACTTTCATATCTCATATCTAAGGTTTAAACCTGTGTCATTTGAAGTGCTGAGTAATGAAATTTAATAAAAATTTAAGTATGATTTAAAAGTAGTTGTATATGTTTAGCTGCTCATTCTCCATGTCCTTCCTTGTAGCTACCTGGAGCTGAATGGGGTAATTAATCATGAGGAAATGGCCGGTTCTCTAGAAACATTCATCAAAGGAAACATCTTAGTGACACCGCACACATCAGTCGAGACAACATTATCTCATTATTCATTATTAACATTATCTCAAAAATGTTTCCAACATGTATGTTGAAACGTGTCATGCAAAAGGATGTAAAAGAAAAAGGAATGTAGAAAGGCCTGGATTTCAACAGAAAGGGCAGCCTAGTTATCTTAAAGCTTGTCTGATGGTAAATAAAGTTGTTCTTTTGCATGTTACATAGTATATCTCATTATAAGATGTAAATGTTCTGTTACTGTGAAAGTTTTCTTTCATTTTAACTTCATGTGTTTTGGTGCCTCAACATGCACACACAGTTCTGGAACTGCTAGAAAATAAAAAGCAGTGTATGGGTCCCTCCAAAAATGCTGGACATGCAAAACTAGCTGGACAACAGCCTTTCACAAATATTAAATTTTTGAGAACGTATTAAAGGGCCAAAATAGAATACTTCCAAGCCAAACTAGAGTTAGTGAAAGCT